TTGCTGAAATTAAATAGACCTCTGTTTCACAAATTTAAATGATGCATATAAATTTCATAGATATGGAATGATAACTTTCATCAATCGAGCATTAACAAGGTTGAACAAAGTGAAACAAGGACCATAACTCTAGAAGTAATTATTGTAAATTGCTGAAATTCAATAGGCTTTGTGGTTTTATTAATAAATAATGCATATAAATTTCACGAAGATTGGGTGGTAACTTTTGGTGTTAGAGCGTTAACAAGGTTCAATAAAGTGAAACGAGCCATAATTCTAGACGTAATAAACGGAAATTGCTGAAATTCAATAGGATTGTTCTTTTTACTAACTTAAATGGCACATATAAATTTTATACAGATCGGCAGATAACTTTAGAGGTTAGCATTCACAAAGTGCAACAAACTGAAACAAGGGCCATAACATAACTCTAGACGTAATATACGGAAATTGTTGAAATTCAATAGGATTCTTCTCTTGACTAATTTAAATGACGTATGTAAATTTCATACAGATCGGCAGATAACTTTTGATGTTAGAGCATTCTCAAGGTGCAACAAAGTGAAACAAGGGCCATAACTCCAAAAGTAATTGATGGAAATTGCTGAAATTCAATAGACTTTTTTGCTTCACTAATTTAAATCATGCACATAAATTTCACAAAGATTGGGTGATAACTTTTGCCGTTAGGGCATTCACAAAGTTCAATAAAGTGAAACATGGGCCATACCTCTAGAAGTAATGAACGGAAATTGCTGAAATTCAATAGGCTTCTTCGTTTCACTAATCTAAATCATGCATATAAATTTCACGAAGATTGGGTGATAACTTTTGGCATTAGAGCGTTCACAAGGTTCAATAAAGTGAACCAAGGGCCATAACTTCAGATGTAGTAAACAGAAATTGCTGAAATTCAATAGGCTTCTTCGTTTCACTAATTTAAATAATGCATATAAATTTAAGAAAGATTGGATGATGAATTTTGGCGTTAGAGCGTTCACAAGGTCCAATAAAGGGACTAGCTCCTAATTTGTATTGCTTAATAATATATTTACTTTATTTCACCTTAAAGATATTAAATGAATTAATTTTAATGAATTAATGAACTAACTCCTACAAATAGTCTAGTCGTTCAGACGGGACAAAAATAAGAGGTCCCTTACGTAGGCCTACACATTGGCATGTATTGTTAAATTTGTACGTACTAAAAGAACCCTTAGTTTGAATTCAATATAAGACTAGAGTAGGCAGTAGGCATAGCTTTCGTCTGTTTATGGCCACCATCAACAAGTCGATTATTTTGCCATTTTCAAGTATGCATGCTAATAGACTTTAACCAGCGTTTGCCATGCAAGATACGCCCACATTTTGCAAGAGATGGATAGAGAGCAAGCAAAAAACAAAAGCGATTTTTTTATACAATCAGGGGCCATAATCCAGAAAATCAACTTTCATAATGGTGGAATGGTGATATTTTTAAACAGTTTTTAAAATCAGATAAAAAATTTTGACGTCTAGAGAATCCACAAGCTAAAAAAAAAACCCTATGATTTTTCATACAATCAGGGGTCATAAGCCAGGAAGTTATGGTCTGATGTGCGCAAATAGCGAAAGGAACCGAGATCTTTGGGACATAAACATATATTTTCAGTTTCATCAAAATCTCAGAACAATTTTGACTTCTAAAAGGTCCACAACCTTGGTATGACATATTTTTACACTATTTACGTACAAGAAGCCGCCATTTTGTCAGGCAGTTTTGGTTCTATTTTCATGAAATTGGAACTCAATAGTCATTAGGGTGTAATGGTGATAAATTTAAACGCTTTGGATAAAAATTGTGACCTCTAGAGGGTCCACAAGATAAAAACATGATTTTTCATACAATCAGGGGCCATAATCCATGCGCAAATATCAAAAGGAACCACAATCTTTGGATTATAAACATATATTTCCAGTTTCATCAAAATCGGATAAAAATTGAGACTTCTAGAGTGTCCACAACCTTGGTATTACACACTTTTACACTATTTGCGTACGGCAGTTTGGGTAAGATTTTTATGAAATTCAAACTATTCGCGTACAAGGACCATCCATTTTGTCTGGCAGTTCGGGTCAGATTTTTACAAAACCTTCATTGAAGTGTAACAGTGATATATTTAAACGATTTTTAAAATTGAATACAAATTGTGATTTCTAGTGGGCCCACAAGCAAAAAATGCGATTTTTCTAACAATCAGCGGCCATAATTCAGGAACTAAGATCTTTGTGATATAAAAATAAATTTAAAGTTTCATCAAAGGGGCCACAAAATTGATACACCATATTTTTACACTATTTGTTTACGAGGGGCGGCTGTTTTGTCCGGCAGTTTTGGTTCGTTTGTACGAAAACTAAACTCAACCATCACTAGGGTGTAACGGTGATACATTCACACAGTTTTCCTAAATCGGATAAAAATTGTGACCTCTAGATGGACCACAAGCTAAAAACGCAATTTTTCATACAATCATGAAGGGCCATAATTCAAGAAATTACAATCCGATATGCAGGATTATCGAATGGAACCAAGTTCTTTAAATTATAAACATGTATTTTAAGTTTCATCAAAATTGGATCAAAACTGTGACCTCTAGAGATCCACAACCTTGATATACCAGATGTTTACACTATTTGTGTACGATGGACGGCCATTTTGTCCGCCAGTTTTGGTCCAATTTTCAAGAAATTGGAACTCAACCGTCATTACAATTTACAGTGCAACGATATGTTTGAATGTTTTTTTAAATCAGATAATTCTGACCTCTAGAGGGATCACAAGATAAAAATGCAATTTTTCGTACAATCAAGGGCCATAATTCAGGAAGTTATGATCCTATATGCGCGAGTATTGAAAGGAAACAAAATCTTTGGGTTATAAACATGTATTTCAAGTTTCATCAAAATCGGACCAAAATTGTGACCTCTAGAGGGTCCACAACCGTGATATACCATATGTTTGCATACGAGGGGCGGCCATTTTGTTCATCAGTTTGGGTCCCATTTTCACCAAATACAGACTCAGCTGACCTTACGGTGTAACGTTGATATATTTGAACGTTTTTTAAATCGGATAATAAATCTGACCTCTAGAGGGACCACAAGATAGTAACACGATTTTTCGTACAATCATGCGCCATAATTCAGGAAGCTACGATCCAATATGCACGAATATCGAAACGAACCAAGATCTTTGGGTTATAAACATGTATTTCATTTTTCATCAAAATCGGATCAAAATTGTGACATCTAGAGGATCCACAACCTTTATATGACATATTTTTACACTATTTGCATTCAAGGAGCAGCCATTTTGTCTGACAGTTTTGGTCCGATTTTCACGAAATTCAAACTCAACCCTCATTATGGTGTAGCGGTAATATATTTAAATGGTTTTCTTAATCAGATAAAAATTGTGACATTTAGAATGTCCACAAGCTACAAATGTGATTTTTCATACAATCAAGAGCCATAATCCATAAAGTTTCGGTGTAATGGTGACATATTCGTCATTCGAACGTTTTTTTAAATCAGATAATAATTGTGACCCCAAGAGGGACCACAAGCTAAAAACAAGATTTTTCGTACAATCAGGGGCCATCATAATTCAGGAAGTTACGATCCGATAAGCACGAAAATTGAAAGGAACTAAATCCTTTGGGTCATAAACATACAATTCAAGTTTAATCAAAATCGGATGAACATTGTGACCACTAGAGAGTGTCCACAAGCTACAAACGTGATTTTTCGTACAATCAGGGGGCATAATCAATGAAGTTACAGTCCAATAGATGCCACTTTCAAGTGTCGTTAAATTCGGATAAAAATTGTGACCTGTAGAGTGTCCACAAACAAAATGTGAACAGATAGATAAGGGCGTCAACAATATACGTCTAAATGAAAATGTGGGCGTAAAACAACTGATAATTGACAGTGTATTTACAGGTAAAACTATTTACACGATTTGAATCTATAGTGTGGTGTCCACAAGCTACAAATGTGATTTTTCGTACAATCAGGGGCCATAATCTATCTGATTTACGGCTTGGTATATATTAGTTCAGCTCTGAACGTAGGTCTCATTACACTCGTCCTGTAGGCCTACGTTCAGGACCCGTCCTAATGAATCCTTGTCGAAAAAATTTCACTTCCCAGTAAATTTTACTGGGCAACTTTTTACCCAATATTTAGATTTCAATGGCGTCGGTCAAGTCGTTTAGCAGACAGGTACAATTTTTTTAACAGCGTGTTGTGTGCTCATACTGGTTCTAGCGAGGTAAGCAAGGTCTTATTTTCTCACTAAGGTGTTCATTTACATTGTTCAGGCCTTCACAGGGACTGACACGCGACCGTTTAGCAGTAAAAATTTGTCCAGTAAAATTTACTAAGAAGTGAAATTTTCTCGACAAGGATTCAATAAGATGGTCCTGAACATACAGGGCGACTGTAATGAGACTTACCTTAACTAGATAGGCCTATTATTATTAAATATTGTGGTGTAGGGAGTTATTTATTTATGGTGATGCACCCTATTATTGCACACTGTATGGCCTAACCCAGAGCAGAAAAGTAGGACATTAACCCGATTTCATTCCATTTCAAACGGAGAGAATGGGAAACGCGATAATCAGAGTCCTATTGAAGTCCTATGCACCATGAAATTCATGAAGAAACTGAAATCAAGTGCATCCATATTCTCCGCGCACCTGCCATCTTGTTCGTTCTGATAATAAAGTATATTTCAAATGAAACCGTTGTACCAGTAAATAAATTAAAAATATTACTTATTCGATCAAACTTTCTTCGTAACGTTGAATGTAATATAACATTAATTAATTACAAGGGTTAGAAAACTTGCATCCACAACATATGTGTGACCGGTAACCGATGTTTACTTCCGGTTCTTCACTAACCGGAAGTCTTCTTTCGGTTTATACTTTTTTTATGTCGACAAGATCAAATAAAAGGATCAAAGGGTCTTATTAGGAATTAAGAATTGTCATAAACCATATGCACAAGACTTTTATGCTCAGTAACTTATCACGCAAGTCACTAGATATTTCGATTCGTGCATCGTTTCTCTATTTATTCACTCGTCTTGTTGAAAATATTTTTGCACACTACCCGCAAAAAGAATGTCACACGAGTCGAAATAATTTGTGAAATAAAATAAGAAAAAGACACACGTAAGAATGATAGAACACTATGTTTTTTGTTTCACATGAAGCCTACACCTAGTTTAAATAAATACATAATAATGCCCGGGTATTCTGATAACAGAATAGGTAAGCTATATCTACATACATTAAATTATAATTGTTATTATTAATTATTAACAGTTTATTATATGCCAGATAGTGAAGATTTATTTTCAAACTTGTCTAGCAGACCATAAATCATCCTGTTTCAGTTTCACATTTTTTAAAGGAGCATTGTCACTTACACCAAGAAATGAAAATGTAATTATGTCACAAGTCAATGTCACTTCGTCATTACCACTACCAGTCATTGTTTTCAAGATTCTTGATTGAGCTTGATATTACAGCTGAAAATCACTCGCATGGCGTAACCCATTAAGCAGGAATATCTGCGATCAAATGCTTATCTAAGTAGGCCTATGCCACAACCGTATGAATGAAAGGAATCACTCCTTATTGTGATATAAGTTTTCTTACCATATCCTTGCCTTGTCCAGACAGGGAGAGCCATCGGGAGAGCTCTTTCGAAGAACAATTATAGAACACCAATGACTACACTACGGTAGACATACTCTTATCTCCATTCCTCCCATGGTGTACATGTACCTTTCAACCTTGCATCTAAAGTGATTCACTCTGGCACTAATATCAAGAAAACCACTAAATCTTACCATGATTAAGGATTATTGAGTTGAGTGTTTTTTGATGTGACTGTTATTTGCATTTTTCAGAAAATTTAAATTTCTCCATGGTTTAGTCCATTCTGAAATATAGCTATTCAAGTTAATTCTGTAAAATATAATTGATTAAGAAAACAAAATCAATTTCTCAACATTTGGTAATCTCCGAGCTTGGATTGAATCGGATTTAAAAGAGGCCCATCAAATAAATTCAGTGAAACTTAAAGATGCCGATGGCTTGTTTAAAAGGACCAAACTCTGGTCAAAACGGACATAGTTTTTACTCAAAACTACCATATATTTGTCATAAGGACTATAAAATATGAAAAGGATTGATTAAATATTTATTACTTAAACATACATTATACAAGAGCTAAATCTGCCTATTGCAGGTCTTTCTTTAGACCTGAAATGTTATCTAAATTATTAATTAGACATTAATAACTTATCTAGACCATAATCAACTCTCGATGGCATCAGATTTCTCCGATATTAAATAGATTAGAACAGTTCAGACATATTTTGATTTAAGCTAAAAATAGAGGAGCGAAACTTAGCTTCGAACAACTAGTACGGTAGTTGAAATTATTGCACACGTCTTGTCAAATCTTCAAAGGGTAATATCCTCGCTCTCAATAGAGTGATTCGAATGAAATTTTTAAATTAGTCATTTTACATTATCTATTTTTGAACTACTATAGCAAGAATGGCTAGCTCTTTATCTAAATCTTACATAATGTATCTTTAATATCAGATATAATTAGATAAATTTTGTCCACTTTCTTGTCCGTTTAAAAGGGATTAATTATTGCTCAAATGAAGTTGCATGGGTTAAACATAAAAGAAGCCAACTGTGGCTAAAAATAGACCTACATGACCTTTGTATCGAAATCAGAGAGAGGGGTTACACATAGGCATAGCCTGTTCCCCAATCCTAATTCAGATTTAATGGATGAAAATATTGTTTAAAAATAGTCAAATGGCAGATTCTCAAACATCAGCTGTCAGCATCCTCAGTGGAATATATAATAGTTTTATAAATAGATAGAGTTGATGGGCATACATATATGTATATCTATTAAGTATTGCTTCAAGAAAATCGTGTTCTAGCTCATGTATGTTGTAAGTCAATGATTACTAGTACTACTGTTATTAAAGGTCTCATATACATTTTAAATGTAATTAAGTTATGATAAATAATCATTACTACCAATAAATGGTGTAAAATACTGTTTATAAAAAATAAATAATGGTTATTGTGAACTTCCCCTCCCTTCCCTTGTGTCCCGGAAATTGTCTTGTTGATGTCATAGATTTTGACATTGATAAATGGCTTTTGTTTACGTCATAATTTGGCAACCCTTTCATTTATGTTGTTGTTAGGGTAGATTTATGTATACTTTCAAGTCATTCATGCTCCTTGATATATTTGTGGGGATGACACTAGCAATACTAATCTGAAGATAATAAATTGTAAAATATAAAGTAAAGATTTGTTGAATGATATAGTTTAAAACCTTGAAAGCCTCATAATAAAATATACATTGTAGTTTAGCTATGATTTTAGCATGAATTATATTTTTGTTTGTTGGGAGTTGGGGTTGGTGACCAAATGGCTTAAAACATTGTCCTGTGGATCATAGGTCTATTGGTGGGGTTGGGGGGGGGGCAGCAAATGGTTTAACCATGGCCCCTATAATACCTGGTCCATTGGTTAACGTGTGTGCTTTAGATGATAAGGTCTGTCATTCGATTTCCCACTTGTACATGGTATTAGTGATTCAGCACGTTAGTGATTCAGCACATTAGTGATTCAGCACAATAAAAACACAACACAATTTATATCTGAAAACAGTCACTTGATTAGTACACATAAAACACACTGTTTTGACGTTTGTGCTTGATAATGAAACAAGAACGCTTGTCGGAACGTCGTGCTACATGAGTACAAACCACTAATTATTTTCTATATAAACTATATACCGTATGGTTGAAAGGTTTTTATACGCCCACATTTTCATGTGGACGTATATTGTTGTTGACCCTGTCCATACGTCCACAATTTGTTTGTGAACACTCTACAGGTCACAATTTTTATCTGATTTTGACAAAACTTGAAATATAGGTCTATCTCCCAAAAATCTTACACAAATAGTGTAAATATATGGTATATAAAGGTTGTGGAACCTCTAAAGGCCACAATTTTGATATAATGACCTAGTTTGTGTCAAGTGGACGTTAAACCCCATTTCTGTCTCATGACCTACTCTTATATCGAATTCCAACTGTCAACGCCAATGTGTACACGGGACCTCCCTGTTGCCTCACTTACAAGAGGGAACCACACAGGAAAATCTGGATGAACTTTCTTGGCCAACGCAGGGATCGAACTCGGACACCCCCCCCCCCCCCCCCCGGCGAGCCAGCCACTTAGCCACCGTGCCCCCCCTGATTGGATGGTATCTGTGAGGTAGCTTCATTTGAGGTTTGCCAGGTTGTCTGCGTGTTTTTGGTAGTCCGCTGGTTTAGAGAGAGAGAGAGAGAAATGGGGTTTAACGTCCACTCGACACACTAGGTCATTTCGGGACTAGCATATGGTTTAATTTTATTTACATAATTCGCTTGCACGTAGGGGTCTTTAGCAGTGTGAGGAAACCGGAGGCCTCGGAGAAAACCCACGAGGTTGGACGCTGGTTTAGAGCAGATACATTTGAATCTAAGAAATTGACTATAAGGTCCCTTGTGTTTGTTCGAAGCAAAGCTTGGAGCTGGTACCTCCTACATGTATTTGGAGGTAATGTTTATTATTGAAAACAAAGTTGTTTTTAGTTAGTACAAGTTTGAGAAGTGTGATAAGGTATGTGGGGTGGATTCTTCAATCTGGTCAGGATACTTTTGGTTATTGCTCTTAAGCCTTCGTTAGTGGGGATGTTGGTATAGAAGGAGGCGACATCCATAGTAACGAGAATAGCATCGTTTTCTTGTGTTAAGTCGATGGATTTTAATCTTTGGATAAAGTGGGTAGTGTCTCTGATGTAGCTAGGATAATGAGGGATGAAATGTTTCATATATTCGTCTATGAAACTGCTGATGAATTCCATGGGGGTCCCGTTACAACTGATAATTGGCCTACCTGGGACATAAATTTGTGAATCTTAGGAGGTAGAAACGACCTGGTTTGGGGTCGTCAGCTAAAATGCCTTTAAGGAGTTTTTCCGTAATCTGCTTTGATTGGTAGAGTTTAGTTAAAAATTGGGTAATTTCCGAGCTTCTTGGTGCACCAATTTTTTCCAACTTCAAATTGAGGTGCATTGTTGAAATGGTAAATTATTCTCATTTTTCGAAACAGTATTCTAAGGTTTAGAAGTGTTTTGCTTAAGCCTATGCCACCAGGCCCGTAGCTGGAGGGGAGGGGGGGAGGCAGAAGCTGCCCCCCCCTCCCCGAAAAAAAAGGCGCCGTTTCCATTGGACGCAATACAAAGTCAACAACCAACGTGCCCATATCAAATCATAAGCACCCAACCAAGAAACCGACTGCATACCGATGCCCAAAGAAGTCTACCATAAGAAAGCCAACTGAAGATTGTAGGAAATTTTCCAGGTCAAATTCATGATGGGGATGACATTGATTCAAGCCCTCACCAGGTGTGATAATCTTCAAAATTCAAACAAGTCGCACCCTAACCCGATTCCGAACTTTTCGTTATTGTCATAAATTATTATACGTACTTTACAGTCGAATTCCTTCCTTCAAATTTTTATAATGTTCATATCAAAATATAATATCAAAATAATATAGGCCTGTGCCAGTGGATGTTGGGCTGAGGACAGAGTGTTCTGGTATATTTAGCTTAACCTTAGATAAATTAACAGCGAACGACTGACTTAGTGTAAGTTTCAGAAGTTTTATTGGTGGAAGCAATATGATTACTGTTATTATTAAAGTTTAATTTGTGAACAAGTTCTTGGACCATCCTGTGGATTCTGGATTTGTTGTTGTTGGTGGGTAGAAATCGTTTACGTGAGGATGACCTGGATCGGTACCTTTTGTTATTGGCGTTAACCCTCGAGGCCCTAGGAGCGGGTTTTCAAGGTGGTTTGAACGTTTTCCCATTTCCATTGAAATACTTTCCCTGGTCTCCAAGCCTTGTTCCGCTTCCGAAAGTTGGCGTGGGTCACATATATCTGCGAGTTTAGATTTTGCTTCTCCTATGAGATCTTTCTGGAGTTGCTCACGAACCCATACCAGGTTTTGAATGTGGATCCTGATCATTGGGAGACAATATTCTTTAGTGGCGTGGGCTCTGTACTCGGCTACTTCCGTGTCATAGACCGTATTGCTAGTAAATATTCTAGGTCTAAAAGAAGATGATATGAGGTTAGCTGCATGGAACACTTTCAAGAAATCGCTTTGTACTTGGAGGCGAGCAGATTTGCTCTTGATGTTTCTAATGGTTTTGTAGAGTAGCATAATGTTCTCCGGTACGTTTACAGCTTTGACATTGGTAGACTGGTTGGTAGTGTTGAAATTGGCTCTTAGTCTTTTAGCCGGTGAAGCTACTACTAAATTTCATTATTTTTCTTGGTGAGAGTGCTATTGCCTCTTTAAATTAAGTTACACCTGTTCAGTAACTTTTATCATTTTATCTCATTTTATTTTTAAATTCATACACTACCTGCCATAAGATTATATTAAATGTTTATCAGCACGTACATATATATATTTACCAATTGTTTTTCAATAGCCGTTCTGCATAATGATTGATCTCTTATCTTTATGCATGTTAACATTGCATATACTTATCACTAATCTATCTATTGTGAAGATATTAATCATGATTTGAATTATATAACTTTTTAATAATGCCTCTGCTAGAAGCAACCATTGGTAGTATGTAGAGATGTGAACAAAATTTGAGGGGGTTATGGACATTAAACAAAGTGTGTTAATTAAATCAGTAATTTTTAATATGCTTTTTTATACAAAAATTGAGTGATTTTGCAGGTGAATGGTCTCCCCCTTACATGCCACTGTGTGTAATCTTATCATCACATAACTATCTATGTAGATGAATGCATTTTAACATATGTTCTTTCATGAAATAACATGGTATCTTGGTAACTAGAATGTAATTTAGTTTAACCTCTTATGATAAATATAATAGTGTAGTGCATTAAAAAAAAACACTTAGATAATATAAATATATTTCCCTTTTATGGACAAAGAATTTTGTTTGTAACACTACAACAATTCTCAAAATAATTTTAAATAGAGTTCAAAAACTAGTTTGTAGACTATCACACTTGTTTGTCACTCTGTAAAACAAATGTAACATTAATTCATATTCTTTAACATTATGAATTATCTGTGCATTTCTGTGCTTTTGTTTGGCCGTTAGTGCTGTACTGTATACTAGACGTAAAATTAGCCATTAAATCTGTATGTGTACCAGTTCTAAGTGTGACCCACAAAACATTGCAAAAATCCTCTTGATAGTTGTTACAATGATTTATAATGTTAATGTGTAAGTAGGACTAGAAATTGTGTTGTCTTATTATTCTATAGACACCCTCTGAGCATGAAAGTCACTGATTTCTCATTGGTAGCGTTTCTTTTCTCATGTTTGTAAACATTATTTTTGTATTTATGGTATGTTTCATGATCCAAATCTGGACTTTTTTCTTTACATTAAACATGCAGGGGCAGATCCAGGAATTTTTGCAAGAGGGGATTCCCAGGTTCCACGGACAATGTATCTTTTGGCATGCATACACATTGAGCTTTTTAAATAGAGAAATCCCATCCCACCATCTGATGATAAAGGATAAAGCACACGACCATGACACTTTTCTCTTAAAAAGTGTTGTTTTACATTTTTTTATGTAGCTGAGATGTTTCGTGTTAGGTTATATTTTATTCAGTGAACAAATCATGGGTACTAACTCGGTCATATTTGCCTGTCATGACCAGGGATGGGATTTCAATTAGAAAAGACAGAAAATAAAGGGAGACTTCATTTTAGTTTCTAACCAAACACCTAATACAGGATGGCTGATGATTTTTCAAGCGTGTGCGGAAATTTCATAACAAAAACATTGGGGATTGGTCAATGATAAAGGATGTTCTCATGTCCATTATGGCATTAATCAATTAGGTATTTAAAATAATTGGATGTTTTTGTTAATGTTAGAATCTATTTTTGATTATCTGAACAGGTGAAAAAATTAAAAGGTACTCTATAATGTAACTACTTCCTGAATTATTGTCAAAAGACATTGAATGTCATACATTTTCTTTTTAACCATTTGAGCACAAAGTCATAACGATAAGTGTAATGCAGACAATAAATCTTAGAAGCAGATGTAACTCAATCACGAATTGTTCAAATTTGGTGCTAAAATATTAACATACATGATTCCATCATGAATTGCTATGGTAATGTATAATAGTGAAATGAACCAGAAACACAACTGAGATATATATATATATATTTGGAGGATCTGATTTGTGAGGAAAAACTAGTTAATGACCTATAGCTACATGTTAAGCGATATGAAATAAATTTGTGGAAGTGGGTGTCCTATAAATTAGTTTAGAACAATCGGATTATATGTACATAAGATGTATTAAAATGTCTGACTCTTTCCCTAGCCTTTTTGATACACACATAATGAGTTATATGCACAAGAGAAAGGTCTTCAAATTACTTCAGTGTAATTTCTGTAAATCTCATATCAAGCTTTTGTATTTCATGTTAATTTTGTTTTAATTTATAAAAGTATGTTTTCTTGTAACTTTAAGTTCATTCATACAATGGAGAAACAATGTAGTTTGAGTGTAAATAAGTCTTCTATTTTAAACTTAAATTCACATTGTTAGTGTAAATGGGAAGCAACAGACTTGAACGTGTGATTGTGACAGTTTTTAGTGACGCAATGTTTGTTTTAAACTCAGGTTGGTATACGCCCACAAGCTTATGAAAGGTATTTTTATCTTTTCAGATGCACAGAAGTTGGCCGACTATTTAACATGTGGTCAGTGTGCTCAAGAGTTTCCCCTCAAAAATATCACCAACTTCATCCAACATAAAACTGATAATTGTGAAAAAAGTAAGTGAGGAATAAGAATTTAAAAATTAGAAATTCTTAAAGCAACAATAAACCCATATTGACCACACTGTTTCATTTGTAGCCTGCTGTTTCCCAAAATTACCCAAATACGTTGGTATTTAAACTTTAAACCGCTTGGTTTTGTATTGGAAATCCATTACCCCATTTAGCTTTAAGAAGTGATAGGTGTACGGTATCTAGAATATCTGGTATCACTTCTAATTGGACAATTGTTTGTTGTACTTTGTATTTATAACTTTAAATCTGCTTAAATGCAAATTTTGGCACAAAGCTAGGAATAATTCCTGTTATTTAAGTCATTTGGAGAAAATTTGGTGGTCTGCAGTGCCTCCATATAATTCATTAGAGTTACATCCTTGATATCCAAATTCAGTAATGTGATACCCACAATTTTTTTTAATGTACATGTAGGCTACCAAGAATAAAGATAAATTGATAACCGTGTATGTAATCATTATTTTTTCATAAATTGATTAAATTCTGTTCCACTAACCACTGTTAGGGTTGCCCTTGATAGCCTAGATGTTGGATTTCGGGAAATGTTAAAGCTGGGTAACAGAACATCAATTTACAGTAAAGTCAATTGGGGGATACTCGATTGAACGTTCCAGAATTAAATTCTCTCAGTTCCGAAAATAGTGTCAATCGAGTGAAAAGGAGAATTTCGGAGTACAATGCATGTGCCTACTGCATAAAAAATAGCTCAACCAATCATGACAGCTGAAACATATTTGTTACTTAAAATACGTCACTATTCTACTCACACCACCTCAGCTGCCGGGACTGCCAGAACTGTGACGAGACTGAATTCTGTATCACTTGATTGCAATTTTGTCAATTTGGGACGTTACAGACCGACAATTGAGCACCCCCTCAGAGAATATGTGGTGGTATGCATCCCTACATTAGATTTACCTCCCTTATATCCCAATTTAGTGATGTGATGTGGACATATTATATGTCGTCTCCCCTGTCCATCCATTCACATTTTGTTGGTGGACACTCTACAGGTCTCAATTTTTATCCAATATAGGTTGAAAGTTGCACATATTAGACCGTAACTTCCTTGATTATGGCCCCTGATTGTACAAAAAATCATGTTTTTTAGCTTGTAGATTACTCTAGCTTGAGGTCACAATTTTTTATCCGATTTTAAAAACCGTTTAAGTATATCACCATTCCACCGTAAAATCGAAATGACGGCTCTTTGTACGCAAATTGTGTAATAGTATGTAATACGAAGATTGTGGATCCTCTAGAAGTCACAATTTTTATCCAATTTTGATGAAACTTAAAATATATCTTATATCCCAAAGATCTCAGTCCCTTTTGATATTTGCGCATTTCAGATCATAACTATCTGGATTATGGCCCCTGATTGTACAAAAAATTGGTTTTGTTTTTAGCTTGTTCTCTATCCATCTCTTGCAAAATGTCTGGCAACTGCTGTTTTTTCCAGTGCTAGCATATATAAAAAAAGTGGTTTAGAAATGTTATGTTATGTTATCATTATCTTTTCATAAATTGATTAAATTCTGTTCCACATTTATATCACTGGATTTGCTGGATAGCAAAAAAAAATATATTTATTTTATCTGAACAGATAGCATATTTACAGTTTGGCATAGGTTTGGTTCCTATAATAGCTGTTCTTAATGTGAAGGCAATCTTATTTGGGTCAATCATGCATGTGATGTGCATTGTTTGAGACAAGCGTCCAGCCAAAGAACAACATTTTAGCAGTTTTTATGTCAGTCTATTATTTCACTAGATGGTGATTGAAGTAATTATTAAACATGTGTTATACTAAACGTCTTCTTCCATATATTTTCAGATTCTAATCAACCATCATCAAATGATAGTCAATTTTCTAAAAATGCTAACATTTCAAATGGTAAGATTGAGTTAAATTTGCTTAAACTGAAAATAATACCTGTGGCATAGCCATGACTATACATGTGACTGGAAATCAAGTTACATTCTGCCTATAAACTTCAGTTTCAGAAATCAATTTCAAACTAAGGCTCCATTTAGGTATAACTTATAATTTCTAAAGTATATTACTTCTCATGTTTGGAAAGTTCACATAGCCAATCATTTTTGTTGTACCTTTGTATCAATAGTTTACATCACTTTGGATTTACATGGCAGCAAGATTTTAAATTTAAGGTAATTTTTAAGTCGAGTTATATTCCTATAACAATGGTAATAAGCCTTATGCTATTATACACCATTCAAGCAGGCATTGATTAAGCTTTTCAGAAACACAATGAAATATCTAAACTACTATACGAAGTTGTTACAACATACACAGTTGTAATAAAATTAAACCTGATATTTAAATTAGGAACCAGAAACGTTACCTTGCTATAGTAAGTGTATCAATTGTTGATGAGTTTATAGTGCTGTAACCATAGCTTGAGGAATACATGGCAGAAGCTACTTGCAGGTTGAATGAAATACACCATTGTAAGATTTACCTATATATAATACCTTTCTAACATTTGTTTGATCAAGCTAATTAAAACTTAATATTTCTGTTCCATTAACGCCTGACAAGTGTGTTCCTTCCCATTATAGTATAGTACATGTGTACTCTTAACCTTGATTAAACAGCCAAGCAACTACCATTTACTTAACATAATCAAAACCTTCGAAATTTTTAAATAATTCTCCGGAATTCTGTGTGATAGGTCGGTAAATCAAATTTGCACATAATTGAACATGCAGTTTAAAGAAATTTCCCCAGTCCAAGATGAAGTGGGGTAAATAACAGTAAAATAAAATTGAATGAAATATTGGTATGATAATTAAACTAGAAAGTAACCATATTGTTAGAATTACTGCCATTAAAATAAATACATTTACAAAAAACTTTATGTTGAGGAAGCAAAGTCATAAAAACTAAAACTTATATTATCATTGTCACAGTTTCTCTTTAAGCACTTCAAAGTCTTACACAATCTTAAAGTATTACTAGATATGGCATGTGAGAATGGCCTACATCTGTTATAAAGATATGATAATGTTGGTCATTTAGTGGGACCACACCCTTTAATAAATATGAATGTCTAGGTCATATCTTGGACATGTGGCAGATGCGTGCTCATTAAATAAGCTTAAAGATAACAAAAAAAAATATTGATTATACAAGATGGTAATGCGGTCATAAATACTTAAAGATACATTACATCTGGGATCAAAATTGTGAATATGTATGAATCAATTCTAAAACATATTTAAACTTAAGAGTACTGATCAGGAAATCGTATTATACCCCGGTACTTCAAATCTATGCTTACCGCCATTGCCATTACTTCACTCAGAAAATATTTGCTGAGGATGCACCAAATGATCCCATTTACTTTGAGGGAATGTATCTTTAATTATTAATTTAGTCCATTTCTAAATAGAGGATTAATAAATGTGAAAATATGATTTTAATGCCCAATAACATGTGTTCATTTTGTAATTTCAGAAGATGAATCTTCCAGTTTGTCTTGCTCATCATGTTACCAAGGTTTCGTAACAGCTCGTGGTTTACTACATCATGTGCAATTCAGCCATAACTTGAACATCTTTATATCAAGAGATGAGGTCACTGACACTGGCCTACATGATAGCAACAATGATAATATTATGATTGAAAAAGAAAGCTTAAATGAAGATGCTGAGGAAGATGACAATATGTGTACTAATGATTCATCCCAAGGTGAAGTTTGTGAGCCCAGTTGCTGTGAGAGACGACTGGCTTCCATGACAGACAGAAACCGTTCATGTCAAGCTAACAGATACCGAGCCGGTTCTTCTCAACAGATGACCAGATGCTCAAAAATGTCTTCAAGTGGAGGAACAACTATTTGTTGCAATAGTCAAGAATGCTGTGTTACAATCATTCCAGGGACTCATGAAGAACCGAGGAAGTGCTGCAATTCCATTGTTCCCAAGAAACGTAAACTTCACATGGTAAAACATATGGATCAAGGTGAGGATTCTAATAAATCCAATCCAGATGAAGACGAAACATCATATGATAATAAATCTTCTATGATTTATATTGATGTTGGTTCTAGAGAAGGTCAGTTTCACAGTACTTCATCAAGGGAGAGAACTCAGACTTACAGCTCTGACTCTTCACCATCTGGAACCAAAGTACAGATTTCTGAAGATGATAATGAGGACAGTAATCCTTCAGATGATGACAACTCGACTGATGGCAGACGATCTGTAATTATTGAAACTGGTAAAAGTTTTTCCATCCCCATAACAGTGACATCTGGTCAAATAGTAGAGACCAGTTCTCTAAATTCTCATACTATTCGTGTTTATAAACCCTTAAATCTCTCTCGTAACACTGGTAACTGTGGTAGCAGTGATGTTTCTAACCTTCAACACAATTCCACAGCAAACCTAGAACCTTCAACATCTCAACAATCTCCAGGAATTCCTGTCTCTTCAACTGTTGTACCTGTTGGTGATTCAGAAAGTCTGTGGATGTCTGCTACAGGCGATATAGGTCAAGATGAGGAAGATGATGGAGAGAAAGATAGCGCTAAGAAAAGACGATATCCCACCAGTCGACCGTATAAATGTGAAAAATGTAATGATGCTTTTAATCAAAGAATTCATCTTAAGAAACATATGAGCAAGCATACAGGTAAGAAACCAGTAACGGGGCTGACCACAGAGGAATCAATGTGATTGGTTACCTAATATATTACTTGGTTTTTTTTTATGGCCCTTCTCTCTCTTTCAATTATCTCTTTCACAGTGGTGATTTTTGTTGACTTTCTAGAAACAAAGTGGAGAGTTTGAATTTGTATTTTTTGCCAGGTTTTGGTAAATATTCATGATTTTGAGGAAAAAACATAATGTTAAGAAGTTTGTTATGTGAAGTGGATTGTTACAAGTTTACTAATTATAATATGCCACTTTTGTTGCTCCATCTGTGGTAGAAGCAGTGTTGGGATTTCAAAATTTTTCTTGTCGGACATTTTTTCCCAAAAATAAAGAGGCATAACTCTTATCGTTATTTAAGCAGGCGGTTTCAGATCACAAATAAAAATCATGTGTCAACAAAATATTCAAATTCATACGTAATAAAAAAATAGGTGCACTTCGTTATTTTTCATATTTAATTCCCGTGTGGTATTCAAATTTATGTCAGTAATATTCCTACAAAATTACATGTTGTTGTAATACGATAGAATAAAAGTATGCCGACTCGTACCTGTTTCAAATTCCTCCAAAATTACCGTAATTTGGGGGGTATAAGTCGATACAATTTTCAGCGGAAGTCTGGCAGTAACTGTGACTACCACAACGAGCGAGTGACATCTGCTAAAAAATCGCAATCGTCTAAAACAATTTACTACTTACACTATTCCAATCCAATCTTATAGTGTTTATTTATTTATTTAAAAACATAAACCCCATTCAAAATATGATCATAAATCCGAGAATATGTCTGACAAAGGAGAAGCAATGACTTCTGTTTAGGATTGGATTGATGAATTCTCGCCTATTTTATTCACCATCTACATAGACACGCTTTTAAATAGGTGTAAGAGTAGTAACTCCGATTGTAAGATTGAGACTGTTTATGTAGGGGCTATAGCTTATGAAGATGAAGTAACTTTCATAACACCTAGCAGGCAGGCATTATTGAACCTTATAGATATAGCAAATAGTTTTTCAAATGAATATAATGTCAAATTTAACCCCGAGAAAGTGAGTTGTTTTTCATCCTATATCTTGTGGTAATGATGATAAACTCATTGAACATGTCAGCTCCAAAAAAACACTAAGGAAATGCACTCAGCAATGTACTTAGTTCTGAGATCATTGAAAGTAAATGTTATGCTTAAGACTTTAAAAGTTGTTTATCCATGGATTCTATATAAGTTATTTAAGTCTTATCGTATGTCCCATTATGAGTGTCATGGGATTTCTCCCATAAAAATGTTGCTGTTTTCTTTTGTGCATGGCGAAAAGTCATTCAAAAAATATGGAATATCAGAGAATGATAAAATTAAGGCAGGCGCCATCAGAGATTTTATATCGGTTAGAGAAAACGGAAACAATTTAAATGATATAATTAATAAAATTTGTACAAACTGAATTTAATATCATGTATACATTAACGGCAGATTTATGATTTTATTGATACTTTTGTAATTGTACTTAGTTTGTACGAATAAATTATTATTATTATTAGTGGTCTGCACCATATAATATAGTTCACAGTTCCTTTTAATCAATATTTTATGCAAATTCTTTTCTCTAATGGGTGATATAGGAGAGATTTTCAACAGTTAATTGCTGCAAATATTAGTGCATAATGTATTTTTTTTTATGTCAGTTAAAGATGCATTATGTGAGAATTAGATAAAGAGCCGGCCATATTCTTGCTAAGATAGTTCAAAGATAGACAATGAAAAATGAATAGATTGATAATTTCAGTCAAATTACCTTATTCTGTTCAAATTTATGAGCGTTTAAAGTTTTTGCAAAACGTAGCACAGATTATATTTCATTGTACCGGTAGCAACAATGGCTAAGCCTAAATGATCTATTTGATCAATAAACTCTAATCTACTTAAAATAGGAGCCATCCTATGGTCTAGAGAGTTGATTATGGGCTAGTCAGATATGTTAATAAATGTTTAAAAAATAATTTATATAACATTTAAAGCCAGAAAAAAAGACCTGCAATAACCAGATTTAGCTTTTACATAATGCATCTTTAAAGGAATTGAAACATTTTCAACTAGGGCACAAAAATTTCTATAGCTTAATTGAGATTCCTGTAATTGCATGTACTTTCGTTAAATGATGATGATTTAAATATTGGATGTACATGTAGTTTTTTCACGATGCTAAATTACAATAAATTTTTTTTAGCTATATATATGAACTCCTCATACAAATCACGCGCGCTGTATCATAAGGCCTGTCATTGAGTCAACTGGCGTGGTTTTCAAATCCCCGGTTATACGTGACAAGGAGTAGGTTTGCCTGTCCAACCTCATGGGTTTCCTCCCACTGCTAAAGACCCCTACGCGCAAGCAAATTATTGAAATAAAATTAAAACCATATGTTAGTCCCGAAATGACCTAGTTTGTGTCGAGTGGACGTTAAACCCCATTTCTCTTTCTCTCTCTTTCTTTCCTCATACAAATGATATTTTTTGTTCATTTTCAGGAGTAAAACCTTTTAAATGTGAACAGTGTGATTATTCTACAGTAGAAAGAAGCCATCTTAAAGTTCACATCAGAATTCATACAGGTAAGGACATGTTAAGTAACTACATCAGTTTGGCTTTAACACACCTACGTCTGTGCTCTGTGTACAGATGATGGAAAAGGTTTTCATAAATGACACAACTAAAATTGATGTTTCTTTGACATCTTTAGCAAACACATGAGATGGGTTGTGTTGTGATTTCAATGGTACGCAATTGTGCAAAATCATACTTTTTTAATTGTTAAAAATTGGTTTCCAGCTCTTTATTACTAAATGAACCGTTTATTTAATTGATTTCAATCTTCATGTGTATGCTCTTACTGGACATGAGTAGGTAGAAGGTCAAAGTTGTAACACCATTCTTTATCTTATAGTTGAAGATAAAAAATGTAAAAATTTGACTAGTATTAATGTACTAACAGTTTATATCTTCTTACAGGAGAAAAACCATTTAAATGTACTCATTGTGAATACGCAACGGCTCAAAACAGTACATTAAAGATTCACTTAAAACGACGACATGGGGGTAAAATGTTTCAGTGTGAAGCCTGTTCTAAGATGTTTACTCAGGAATCTATGTTAAATAACCACCAAGTAGAACATCAAAGAGATCAGAATTTATCTCAATTACCTTTGCCAAGTTCTGATTTGGACTTGCTGGACATTTCCTCCAACTCAGTTCCTGTGAGTAGTAATTCTGCAAGTACCATTCCTGCCATCAGTAATATATTAATACCACCAATAGTTAATCAAGAATTGCCAACTTTACCCATTAACCAAATTCTTTCTCTTCAACAATCATTTACATCAGTCAACACTAATCAGACATTAACTAACACAAACCAAACACTAGCAAATGCCATATCTTTTCCAAGTTTAAATTTAACTAAGAGTTCTTAATCCTCCAGCATTTTACCTGCTAACATTTTTTATTTATTAAAATTTTTGTATCGTAATTATATTTATGACGAGTGCTGATTATTTAACACTAATAATTAATGCATATGTTCTGTATTTTAATCAGATTTAGAATGTTTAAGACATATCTTAAATCTAGATTTGGTACTATTAGTAATTCCATTCAAATGGATACATGTATTATTGTTTTATATTCCTGTACTTGTACTGGAATAGTGTAACGTAATTTATTAAGCAAACTAATAAATTTATGTGTTTTGATAATCTAGCAATAATTGTTACATACCGGTATTCAATTAATGAAATACTAGTAAGGTTTTTATTTGAAGATTTACATTCCTATTTCACCTGTTTGTTTTTACATTAACATTAAACTAAGCCAACCCAGACAACATATTAGTAACTTGATAAGCTAGTCTTTATTCATATATCTGCAAGTATATCAAGTCACCAATACAAATGGAGAGGATACTTGTCAAAGTTATTTAACACCATTCTGTATTTGCATCTGGAATATTCATACAGAAGAATCCTCAATTTCCATATTTCTTTATGTTTTTGTATTTGTTTAGCATGCTTAAACCCACTTACATGAATGGTTACCCTGCGAAATCTGGGACTTCTGCTTTAACATTGTTTTACAATATATTAACCATCACATATCTGTGATTGCTAGCACAGTTTTTTATGCATCCACATTTAATGTGGACATACATTATTTTAAGTCTGTTGTCAGTCAATCCATCTTTCTTGTGAACACTCTATAGGTCAGAACTCTTTGAATTTGAAGATATATTCATGTAATCATAAGTTACAAGTAAGAACATCAAAATTGTCCAATAGTCAATTTAAAAGTTATCTCCCAGATAGAAATTTTTAAAACTCAACGGGATTGTTCATTATGGTATAGGGATTTGGGAACAACCCTATCAAATTGTAAAATATTAAATGCTTTGTGCAGAGTTGTTTTTATACGCCCACATTGAAATGTGGTCGTATATTGTCGTCGCCCCCGTCTGTCCGTCCGTCCGGCGTCCACAAGCTCTAGAGGCTAAAGTTAATATCTGAATGGCTTTAAATTTATACACAGTGTTTAAGGTCTTGAGACGAAGAAGTCTATTGATTTTCAGCGATTTCCGATAATTACCGCCAGAGTTATGGCCCTTGATCACTTTGAAAAATCATGTGGACGCTCTAGAGGCCAAAGTTAATATCCAATTGACCTTAAATTTATACACAGTGTTTGAGGTCATGAGACAAAGAAGCCTATTGATTTTCAACGATTTCCGATAATTACTGCCAGAGTTATGGCCCTTAATCACTTCAAAATATCCGATTGACATTAAATTTATACACAGTGTTTAAGGTCATAAGATGATGAAGCCTATTGGTTTTCAGCGATTTCTGATAATTACTGCCAGAGTTATGGCCCTTGATCACTTCAAAAAATCTTGTGGATGCTCTAGAAGCCAAAGTTAATATTCGATTGACTTTAAATTTATACACAGTGTTTGTGGTCATGAGACGAAGAAGCATATTGATTTTCAGCGATTTCCAATATTTGCTGCCAAAGTTATGGCCCTTGATCACTTTGAAAAATCTTGTGGACGCTCTAGAGGCCAAAGTTAATATTGGATTGACTTTCAATTTATACACAGTGTTTAAGGTCATGAGACGAAGAAGCCTATTGATTTTCAGCAATTTCCAATAATTACTGCCAGAGTTATGGCCCTTGATCACTTCAAAAAATCTTGTAGATGCTCTAGAGGCTAAAGTTAATATCCGATTGAGTTTAAATTGAGGTCATGAGACAAAGAATCCTATTGATTTTCAACGATTTCCGATAATTACTGCCAGAGTTATGGCCCTTAATCACTTCAAAAAATCTTGTGGACGCTCTATAGGCCATAGTTAATATCCGATTGACCTTAAATTTATACACAGTGTTTGAGGTCATGAGACAAAGAAGCCTATTGATTTTCAACGATTTCCGATAATTACTGCCAGAGTTATGGCCCTTAATCACTTCAAAAAATCTTGTGGATGCTCTAAAGGCCATAGTTAATATCCGATTGACTTTAAATTTATCCACACTGTTTGAGGTCATGAGGCGAAGATTCCTATTGATTTTCAACGATTTCCGATAATTACTGCCAAAGTTATGGCCCTTGATCACTTTGCAAAATCTTGTGACGCTCTAAAGGCTAAAGTTATCATCCGATTGACTTCAGATTGATACACAGAGTTTAAGATCTTGAGACGAACAAGTATATTGATTTTCAATGAATTTTTATGACTTGAACAGTTAAATCCATGATATTAAAAGCTTTGCATACAAAATGTTAGCATGGGGAAGAACTTTATAAAAACCAAACAAATTCTAATAGTTTTCTGATAATTACTTCGTGATTTGTTGCTCTTAATCAGATTTTAGTGTATTATAAATGTTTCATTACCGAAAAAAGTAAAAATATGCGACAACCCTTGTTGACTGCCCGGACGATTTAATTGCTGTGGGCGTATGTTTCGTTGCCTGGCAACCTATCTTTCCTGTCATAATTTTATTTCTGAAACTTGTGAAAGAGATACAGGACAAAAATCTCAATTGAATTTTCTAAAACTTAGTTGGGTTGTTCATTTAATTTAGAAAATTGAAATCTTAAATTTTGGAATCATCTGCTGGGTTACTCTTAAATTATGAAATCTTTTGAACGACTTGATTGTAGATCCAACTTTGTTGCTGGTGGGCATATTCGGGGGTCAAACAAGTCACCTTCTATTTTATCCAAGATTATTAATATCACACTATATAATATATTGTTTAATACTATCTAATCTAAAAGAGCATATTTATGTTCTGCACCTTTGTTCTCTATTTTTGCCTTGTCAAAATTTGATTATAGGTTTAAAATAGAAAACTGCTAAGAAAGTTTGATAAACAAAAACTGCTGTAAAAAATTGTCTTTCATTTTAAAAATTCTTCACATTTATAATTTACCGGTGTAGTTGTCTGTATTTTAGTCGGATTTAAATTACATTATGCTCTCAATTTTGCTTTCAATGGCAATACATTGACACTACAGTTAAGTATCACAACAGTTTTGTCTATTTCCTGACTTCGCATCCCGCTAATGAAGTATGAATTTAAACAATCAAAATGTGAGAACTTCCAACTGAAAAAAGAGTAGTTAGATCTTTATGTAGTGTAGACCAACAATTTAAGCCTGGTAGAAAAATACAGACTAATATTAATTGTATTAAGTTTAATCTGGTATCTTTATTATAGCTTTACTCACAATTAAGTTTTTTGTACTTGATAAACTTGTTTGATGACATGATTTAGTTCAAGATAGATTTACAAATATAACATATTCAATTTATTTTAAGATGTTCCCATAAGTTATAACTGATATTACAATTGTGTTTGTAGTGAAAAATCACAATTTTCTTTTTCTTGTAAGTCTCATTATTTTTATATGCCCACATTTTCATGTCGACGTATATTGTCGTCGCACCTGTCCGTCCATCATTCTACAATTTGTTTGTGGACACTACACAGGTCACAATTTTTATCCAATTTTGATGAAATTTGAAATATAGGTTTATATCGCAAAGATCACGGTTCCTTTCGATATTTGCATGTAACGGACCATAACTTCATGGATTATGGCCCCGTCCACGTTTTTAGCTTGTGGACTCTCAAGAGGTCACACCCGGTTGTAGGTGACAAGGAGTAGGGTCGCCTGTCCAATCTCGTGGCTTTTCTCCGGGTCCTCTGGTTTCCTCCCACTGCTAAACACCCCTACGCGCAAGCGAATTATTGAAATAAAATTAAACCATATGTTAGTCCCGAAATGACCTAGTTTGTGTCGAGTGGACATTAAACCCCATTTCTCTCTCTCTCTCTCTCAAGAGGTCACAATTTTTATCCGATAGTAAAAAACGTTTAAATGTATCACCGTTACCCCCTAATGATGGCCGCGCCTGTTCAAATACCAAGATTGTGGACCCTCTAGAAGTCACAATTTTTATCCGATTTTGATGAAAACTTAAAATATATCTTTATATCCCAAATATCTCAGTCCCTTTCAATATTAATGCATTCAGACCATAACTTCCTTGATTATGACCCCTGATTGTATGAAAAATCGCTTTTTTTTTAGCTTGTTCTTTATCAATCTCACAATTTTTATCCGATAGTAAAAAACGTTTAAATGTATCACCGTTACCCCCTAATGATGGCCGCGCCTGTTCAAATACCAAGATTGTGGACCCTCTAGAAGTCACAATTTTTATCTGATTTTGATGAAAACTTAAAATATATCTTTATATCCCAAATATCTCAGTCCCTTTCAATATTAATGCATTCAGACCATAACTTCCTTGATTATGACCCCTGATTGTATGAAAAATCGCTTTTTTTTAGCTTGTTCTTTATCAATCTCACAATTTTTATCCGATAGTAAAAAACGTTTAAATGTATCACCGTTACCCCCTAATGATGGCCGCGCCTGTTCAAATACCAAGATTGTGGACCCTCTAGAAGTCACAATTTTTATCCGATTTTGATGAAAACTTAAAATATATCTTTATATCCCAAATATCTCAGTCCCTTTCAATATTAATGCATTCAGACCATAACTTCCTTGATTATGACCCCTGATTGTACGAAAAATCGCTTTTTTTTAGCTTGTTCTTTATCAATCTCTTGCAAAATGTGTGCATATTTTGCCTGGCAACTGCTGGTTATATCAAACATAAACACGACTAAATGTAAAAGGTCTCTCGCTCTGCCAAGGACAACATCTCGAATTGTTATCATTTCATAAATTAGGTTTAATTTTGATCAATTGCTTTGTTTAGGGGTTATCTGTCTACGTTTATATTTTTAGATCTACAGATAGAGTCTGTGTTGTAACATAATTGATTTCGTCTTCTACTGTCAGCAGTTTAAGATAAAACAAAACTGAAATCAATAAACATACTGACTTAATATTTAAAAAAGAAAATTTAATCGTTTAGATTTTGTACTATTATTAGAAAATCCATATAACACATCAGATCAATGCAATTAAACATTTTATTTTTACTTAACTTAAATTTAACTCCTTTCAGCAAAATATATAGAAAAAAATGTGTGGAAATCATAGTCAGTTTTCATAAGTAGAATGTCCTAGGAGATATTGTTAAAGTCATTATTGGGTAATAATTAATACATGGAACTCAATTTGATAAAGTTGGTCACAATTATTGTATATGACATTGTAGGGTAAACAAGATGTAACGGTGGTATTTTCTGTAATTTTCTTTTCGTTTTATGATTTTAATACAGAAAATATTTACTGCAAGCTTCCTCTGTACTTTATGTTGTGTGACATTAATTTAAACTTAACAAAATAACTATTATAATAATGGTATTTATCTGTTCTTATGTCATGTTGTTAATTTATTTTTAAAGTATTGTATAACTATAAGGCAATTTTAATAAATCTTACAATAAGTGTTTTATCTATTTCTTTATCCGGGAGGAATGCATACAAGTAGACACTGAAAATAATTCTGAAGTTCTGGGCTAATGGCATTACATTTCACTTTCATTAGTCAGGATTTCCAGTCCAGGCTGACTGGCCTTGAATTGATATATCTTACTTGAAAATTTCCAGCCAATTCCAGTTGGACAAAACACTTAATATTAACAGACTTTACCATAATCATGGATTCCTTCCCAACAACAGATTTATCTGATATGGGCAGTAATTTGTTACAAATCCCCAAATCTCTGGTGCAAGGAGTGTCTATGAGGGACCATAAATTCTGCATAAAATCCACGTTTTAACTGAACACTAGACACACGTTCCAGGTTGAAGTCAGGACAAGGGCCAAGAAAAACATCTGGCATTTTTTCAAGTCTGATTTTCTTTTAATTGATTCTCTTTTAATGTCTGGTGTGAGGGCTTAGTAATTGGGATGGGATTGAAATTTTCCGTGTACAAATTGATAGTGAATATATACAAGATCAACTTGCAGTTGGAATTGGAAGAAGAATTGCTGTTAGTTAATCAAGACAAAATGTTAAACAAATTCACAATCCATTTTTATACGTCCACATGTTTGTGAACAGTCTACAGGTCACAATTTTTATCCGATTTCAATGAAACTTGAAATATAGGTTTGTCGCCCTAAAATCTCGGTTCCTTTCGATATTGGCATGTATCGGACTGTAACTTCATGGATTATGGCCCCTGATTGTACGAAAAATCACGTTTTTAGCTTGTGAACACTTAGAGGTCACAATTTTTATCCGATTTGGTTTAAACTTGAAATGTATGCTTATAACCCAAAGATCTCGGTTCCTTTTGATATTCACGCATATTGGAACGTAACTTCCTGAATTATGTCCCCTGATGGTACGAAAAATCGCGTTTTTAGCTTGTGGACCCTATAGAGGTCATAATTTTTATCCGATTTCAAAAACTGTTTTAATATATCACCGTTACACCCTAAGGTGGTCTGAGTTTGAATTTCGTGAAAATCGGCACAAAACTGACAGACAAAATGGCCGCCGTTCGTTCTCAAATAGCGTAAAAATATGGTATATCAAGGTTGTGGACCCTATAGAGGTCACAATTTTTATCCGATTTTGTTGAAAATTGAAATGTAAGTTTATAACCCAAAGATCTCGGATCCTTTCGATATTCGCACATATCGGACCGTTACTTCCTGAATTATGGCCCCTGTTTGTACGAAAAATTGCGTTTTTAGCTTGTGGACCCTATAGAGGTCATAATTTTTATCTGATTTAAAAAAACATATTATTATATCACCGTTACACCCTAAGGACGACTGAGATCGAATTTCGTGAAAATCGGCTCAAAACTGACAGAAAAAATGGCCGCCCCTCGTTCTGAAATAGCGTAAAAATATGGTATATCAAGGTTGTGGACCCTATAGAGGTCACAATTTTTATCAGATTTTGTTGAAACTTGAAATGTAAGTTTATAACCCAAAGATCTTGGTTCCTTTCGATATTTGCGCAATCTGTTTAAAACACAGATCCTATTTCGTTTCGTTTTTATAGTTCAAAATTTCGTTTTACTTGTCTTTACTACACTTGGATCTGGAAGAGTTGTTATTTAACTCGTGTTCTGAATGGTGTCAGGGATAAGCCAATGAAACGTTCTGTTACGTCGAGCTTTAGGCGTGTTTTTCACGGAACTGTGGGTAATCCACTAGTAACATCAATGCTGATTGGTTAATCAAATGTCTGACGTCATAGGTCATAAGTCGATCTGTGACCTATCGCTATAACTTGTCAGATCTTCATGTAGTGTAGGCCATCGAAAGTATAAATTATACGTCCACATGAAAATGTGGGCGTATAAAAAACGAAACGAAATATAGATCTGTCTGTTAATCAGATTGATATTTGCGCATATCGAATTGTAATTTCCTGAATTATGGCCCTTGATTGTAGGAAAAATCACTTTCTTTTTAGCTTGTTCTCTATCCATCTCTCGAAAATGTGGGCGTATCCTGCCTGGCAGCCGTTGGTTCTATCTGAATACATTATATATTCTAATAATATTAATAAAATAAACAAATCAAAGACACAGATTTCATGGAGAATTAATATTTATCAGTTAAAACAAAATGAAAGATTATATCAATTGTATTGTAGGAATGTATTAAAAAAATGAAATAAATAATGGGATTAAGTTAAGATATGCATATTAATTTAATTGTACATTTATTATGTCGATATTATTTCATTGCACAACAATGGAATTATTCCCTTTACAACCATATGTTGTCACTACGTATTAATCTATGCAAAAGGTAATTAAAATTTCAGGTTGAATAAGTCAATAGTTATTATTGGTGCTAAAACAAAGGCTTCGCTAATCAGTAATATATGTAGGTGTTTCAAATGTGGTATATCAAATATCCAGTCGAGTTTGTATTGTATGTGCTTCACCATGACCACAAATATCTTATTTTAGTTTGAATAAATTGATATCCTATAGAAAACACCTATGGGAATGAGTTAAACAACAAGGACTGGATCACAACTGAAGCCTCCAAGACGCTAACAAGATTTGTTAACAGTGGTGGCGGCACTAAATAAAATGTGCCAGTATATAAATCCACTAAATAAATTTCATTTCAGTCATTATTTATACATTGCACATACAAACACAAAATCTATTATAGACTAAAAATCTATAGTAAAAAGAACATGATTGAATAATAAAAAAAATCAAAGAGCAACAAATAAGAATCCCATCTGTAAAACAATCAGATTGTTGTAACATCACAAATAGCTGGATTTACCTGATCTAATGTACATAGGTCTTCTATAAACTATTTACTTTCACCTGTCATTACATTGTTTACAGTCTCATTTGGCCCACATATTTTTAGGGTTTTATACCCGGGTGAATATAAATTCATGGTTTGTTTTCTGAATAATATTAATTATGTAGAATAAAGACACTGTACACCCTAAATGGAATTAATAAACCTAGAGAAGAACCTTTAGAGATCAACGGAAATTAACCAACATGGGCGAAGGTGTATAAGATTACTAAAGATTTTTGGAACATCATCTTTATACTGTCTGTGTACCCCCTTCAAATTTATAGGTTTTACACTGACAACTAGCTCTTTTACAATAATAAACCTTTACCATATTTCTGTGAACAAAAAAGGGGGGGGGGGTGGCGTTAGTTATTGATGATCGAAAAGGAGGTAAGGGGCAGTAAAAGTCAAAAGGGCATATATTTAACTGGAAAATATACTTTGCATCAATTAACTCATTCATAAAGATGTGCCATTTATAATTTGACCCCCACTGAATTATACATGCCCAGTGATTACCAAAGGATCAAAGGTTTCCTACATATACATTCAGAATGAAAAAAACAAAGCACTGAAATCTGTTTCAATTGATTATTCTCATTGATTATGGTGGTTATTTTTTTAGCATGTGTCTAGTTTGCTTACATAACTACAAATCTTGGTGATCAAATGCAGCATGTTGAATATGGTCATACTGTAGTTCTCTCTAGCTACGAACCATCTGCCAAGTAGATTTTTTTTTTATCTATTTTTGAGGAAGACCTACAATATTATTAATTTCACATATAAATTAGTTATCTACATCTCAACAGAAAAACAAAATATCCTACAAGCAAAACCATACAAGACAAAACCCTTTAAAAGATATATAGCTGTACCATAAAAAAAACCTTTAAAAATATGGCCAAACAACTCCTTAAAATAACTAGATGTCCATAATCCCATTTCTATACCAGCTTTAAACAAACAAAATAAATACAAATTGTTCTTATCATATTTGTCTCAAATTTTAAAGAACATGATCAGAGAAACTAATTTAGAACATGATATGAGAATCCAATTTAGAACATGGTATGAAAATCTAATTAGAACTTGATATGAAAATCTAATTAGAACTTGATCTGAGAATCTAGTTTAGAACATAATCAGATAATCTTATTTAGAACATAATCAGATAATCTAATTTAGAACATGATCAGAGAACCTAATTTAGAACATGATCTGATTATCTAATTTAGAACATGGTCAGATATAATCTAATTTAGAATGGCTTAAATAGATTTTACTTGATACATTAGTCAATACCATGAATATATTAAAGGCACAATATTCCAAACTAAAAGGCAAATATAGATTTTCAGTTTCTACACATCAAAAGTTAATCTTAACAAAAAGCATACTGGTCCAAAGATTATTAAAACTGATTCATACTAATATACCGGTAAGTCATGTAGATCCAATGTTGTCATTACTTTCTACTGATTTTATGACATCATCTTTTCGAATTCTGGTCTTAGAATGTCAGTAAATTACTAGTAAATTACTGAAGAATAAAAATTTTTGATCCATGAATATTGATTGGAAGATGGCATCTAATCTAACCTAAGTTTTTTTTTCTTGTGTAAAGAGCATATTTCAGACCTTATTATTGTTAAATTCAATTATAACAAAAATGACTAAGCCTTCTTGCTTAATCCATAAATATTTTCGTACAATAAATGGTAATTTTTTAATAACCCATGTAGAGAGGGAAAGGTACAGAAGTTTTCATAAATGGTACAATTAAAAACACACTGTACTTTGCAGGGTGTGTTTGTGTGTCATTTAGGGTTTTCATCCGTCTATCATATTAAATGATGCTACACGCCATTAAACTATATTAAATATACACATCTCCATTTTTCACACAGCTTCATTATTATAATAAATATTCATTGACAAAAATATACATATATGCTGACTCAGAAATATATAAACTGTATAAAGCTTACTATAATACAAACTTTGCATACATAATTACTTCACAAGAAGCGCCTTATTAAAATAATTTGATAAAAATATTTATACATAACAATATTATTATACATAAATGTGATAACTTGTAATAACAAATGTTGCACATATGTACATATACATATATTATATCATACATTAATATATCAACTGTGTATTACATTTACAATACCTTTTTTTTCATACTGGTAGAAACACAACCATGTACGGTATATGGATAATAATTACTGGTTTATTATACTAGCAACTTTTCAACGATGGTACTCTCACTGTCCTCTTTATCAATCAAGTGGCAGAATAAGCGTAACTCAGTTTGTTTACCAAATTTCCCTTTAATTTATTGTTTTTTGCTTAACCAAATTAAACCACACTTTAAATTGGCTCAATGTAAAAAGATCACATTTCTAATACAGAAAGATAATGACATTATTTTAATCTGACACATTTCACTCAATTAAAAGAGGTTGCACATAAAAAGCTGTATACCAGTACAGTACATAAAGATAGGTTGCCAGGCAACGAAACATACGCCCACAGCAGCTAACTCGTCCGGGCAGTCAACAAGAGTTGTCACATATTTTAACTTTTTTCGGTAATGAAACATTTATAATACATTAAAATCTGAAAAGAGTAACAGCTCATTAAGTAATTATCAGAAAACCAATAGAATTTGTTTGGTTTTTATAAAGTTTTGCCCCATGCTAACGTTTAGTATAGGAAACTTTTAACATCATGGATTTAGCTGTTCAAGTCATAAAAATTCATTGAAAATCAATATACTTGTTTGTCTCAAGACCTTACACTCTGTGTATGAATCTGAAGTCAATCGGATGATAACTTTAGCTTCTAGAGGGTCACAAGGTTTTTAAAAGTGATCAAGGGCCATAACTTTGGCAGTAATTATCGGAAATCGTTGTAAATTAATATGATTCTTCGTCTCATGACCTCAAACACTCTGTATCAATTTAAAGTCAATCGGATATTAACTTTAGCCTCTAGAGCATTTACAAGATTTTTTGAAGTGTTCAAGGGCCATAACTCTGGCAGTAATTATCAAAAATCTCTGAAAATGAAATAAACTTCTTCGTCTCATGACCTTAAACACTGTGTATAAATTTAAACTCAATCGGATATTAACTTTAGCCTCTATAGTCCACAAGATTTTTCAAAGTGATCAAGGGCCATAACTCTGGCAGTAATTATCGGAAATCGCTGAAAATCATTAGGCTCTTCATCTCATGACCTTAAACACTGTGTATAAATTTAAAATTAATCGGATTTTAACTTTGACCTCTAGAGGGTCCATAAGATTTTTTGAAATGATCAAGGGCCATAACTCTGGAAGTAATTATCGGAAATCGCTGAAAATCAATAGGCTTCTTCGTCTCATGACCTTAAACACTGTGTATAAATTTAAAGTCAATCGGATATTAACTCTGAGCTCTAGAGCGTCCACAAGATTTTTTGAAGCGATCAAGGGCCATAACTCTGGCAGTAATTATCCATAGGCTTCTTCGTCTCATGACCTTAAACACTGTGTAAAAATTTAAAGTCAATCGGATATTAACTTTAGCCTCTAGAGCGTCCACAAGCAATTGTGGACGCCGGACCGACGGACGGACGGGGGCGACGACAAAATACGACCACATTTCAATGTGGGCGTATAAAAATCAAAATTTATCCATATTTATATATTATATAAATTATATACTTATAAATTATATATTAATAATAGTGGAGTGGTTAGAGATCAAAAATATTGATCTGAATTTCTGATCCAAGTTAATGTTGATGGGATCTGGAGTTCAAAAGCCATTTTTCCAAGCCAAATAAGCTATTTTGGGGTAATAATCAGAAATATTTCAGGAAACAGTACAATATCTGGGCAATTCGGTACACATTTTGTTCGACAGCCCTTAAATATATATGTACGCCTGTGACAAATCTGTTGAAGAGAATTCGATTTTACACCCTTATAGTTAAGCTATTCCAGTAGCGTTACTGCATTTAGATCTGGGTAAAGGTATTATTTTATACCATTAAAACAACTGATAATGAAAACACAATACTTTTATAACTAGATGATTGTAAATCTTGTTTGAGAGTTGCACCTTAATCTGTTTAATTAGTTAAGGTGATCGATGAACAGTTTTCTTATAATTGAAAAGCATGTGGTTGACATAACAAGATCAACTATGAGATATCAGGAATAATTTAGACTTATCCAGATTATTAATGATACATTATGTATCATTTTTTTACCTTCAAATGGTATATACACTGTAACTTATCATTATCTCGGATAAAGATATTGAGTGTATTGGACAACATAAGCCAGAATAAAGTAATTTAACCGATCTTTAAACTATTATAGCAAGAACGGTCAGTTCTTTATCTAATTCTTACATAATGCATCTTTAACTTTTTATAGGCCTATCCATAGTCAGTCTACCACTACTCATTCCTTTCAATAGTTAAACAATTTGTTTTGTACTTTTGAGTTAATATACAGCTATTAGTAACAATATATATATACACATATATATATATTTATGTCTTAAGCTATAAGTTTACTTTTTACGACTAAATATATTAGAAATATTAGAATCTTTAAATTTTGACATGACGCGCTGGCGCACATCTTCTGCGGACATTGTGTTAACTGATGATATACTTCCACTTCTGAAATAATAAAAATAATAAATAGAGCTTTGTAACATTACAATCATAACAATTCTCTTTCATTTAACATGCTTGTCTCACTTATTGAAAACATGATTGTGTATGTGTGTATCTAAAACCCTGTTTACATTACAAATTTTAAGCGTGCCAGGAACAGTACCTAGCACAGCACGGTTAATTTTTTTGTAGTGTAAACAAGTCAAATATAAGCGTGCCGTACTGAGTACCGTGCCAATCTGGCCCACTGAAATGAGGTGGTCTCAACACGGTACCATACGCAGCCTGCTTAAATTTTCTTAGTGTAAATGCTATCCAGTCTGAGCATGACTGTGCATGTGCGAAACGAACCATGACCTTTTCCCCCCCCCCCCCCGCAAACTATGACAGTTCTGTCATCAGTTTCTGTCATCAGTTCTGTCAAAATGGCTGCTCAAACTAAATCAACCATCATAATTGTTTTCATCTGGGTAATATGTATAGGGACTGAAATTAACTTTTCTGTGAAGAGTTTCACATTTGGCGTGCTTGGCATGGTTCTGAGATCGTTTATTTTAGAGTAATGTATCCGGGTCAATTTCTTGAAATTTATCGCGGCCTAGTACCGTGCCCAGAACGGCACGCGTATCGGGGCCAAGTGTAAACGGGGCTTAAGCCTACAAAATGTGTCATTTTTCAGAAGTCTCACTAAAGGGTTGAATAGTCTTAAGGACTTCTGCACGCAAAATAGTTTTACAATCCATTATAGGATTACAGCTTGATAAAGAAAAAATCATAGCAAATAACAGATTTATTCTGAATATTAAAATATATATTTAGCTTAAAAATAAATAGGTGTTTTAAAAGAAACTCTTAATGCTTTTACTTTTTTTCAAAAAGAATTATTTATATACATTCTCCTTGCACATAAAGAAATCCAATGTGACGGTCACCATGGAGATATCTAAAATAGGATTAAATAAAGGAGAAACAAATTTTGTATTTATAAATCATTTTCACACATTGTTCTAAAAGACAACCTCCATTCTATTTTCTAGGTAAACTATAATCCTGTGGGACTAAAATGAGGCTAAAGTGTCTGTAATTTGAAACAATTAAAGATGGGTTCCTGCTTAGAAACTGGGTGATTTAATGGTATATATGGACTAAAAACTTATTCAAACTAATTAATTTGTCATAATTTTGTTTCAAATCCTTCTCAAACATTGTAATTGTGAAGGAATGCCCTGCTATAAAAATTCGATCAAATCAGGTCACGTTTACGTCACATGACTTACCTCTCTTGGAAGTCAGAGGAGAATTCATTGCATACATAAGACGATGTTGTCTTTAACCGCTTACTATACAAATATCGAATCCTAATTAAATTCTCGGATTATCCACTACCCGCGTCTTTTTCCATCATTTTTATCTCAGAAAATGTTGTACGTCCAACTCTTCATAAAGTTTATTAACTTGTACATCAAGCGCTCAATGTTCGCGTGTGACCTTTGACATCACGCGTGCAGAAATTCCTAATCGTCGGGCTGTTGATTAGGGGAACCCTTACATTTTAGTCCTGTATACGCTCCAGGAGTGTTTTTCGGGGAATCCAGTATTTTTCTAGTAAGATTGGATATCTCTACTTTCCATATATACCAAAATTACCATACTTTTATTGGAAATAACCACCCGATAAATACTTTTCTGGGAATCCATCTTTAAGGGAAAGCTAATTAATCAGCAAATTTTATGTCTTGTGAATTATTTTGACATATATAATGTAAAGTAGGTTGAAAAAAACAAATTGAGTAACAATAAAGAGATAACTGGAAATGTGATGCAGTAATGACAGGTTTCACTGCTGCCACTTTATACTTGAACTGACATCACTACCCGTACCAATGGAAACATTAAACAGATTTCCACATTAGCATTGGACACTATAAAATGTACCCAGAATTAGCCAATAAACCAGCAATATCAATTAAATTTATACAACAGAGACTCAACACAATGACATTACTTCCGTTATCAACAAAATAATTAAATTGAATTACAGAAATAACCACTTCGATTGTCCTTTGCGTGACATAAAATTGATTAAAATTTGAACAGAATTAACACTTTGTAACGCCTTATTAAAATGCGAAAAATCTTATAAAAGTGAAGCTGACACAATTGGTTATTTCTCGACACGAGAGGACATTAGAAACACTATTTTGATTCATACTATTTGTCCTTTGAAATCAATAGGAATCAAATATCATAATTTTATACGAATAATGAATATCACTTACTTCAAACAAATATTTGTTTTAGAGGATAAAAATACAGTTTTTGCCAAAAGACATTACTTTCGGTGGTACTAAAAATATTAAATCATTTTAGGAAATCGGAAATGGCATTAGGCATCACATGAAAATCGAATAATAATAATAATTGGACCAAATACCTTGAAAAGTGACTTGTAGAAAATCATCTATTCCTCCACAACTGAACAAGTTAGAAACCATTTTGTGATATCAATATGATCACATATGATTGCATGAAATTAAACTGTGAAAAATCTTAAAAAGTGTACCTGACAAAATTGGTTATTTTTCGGCAAGGAAAGATGTTAGAAAATACTTTTTGATATCTAAACGATCCCACTAATTCAATCTTTTAGTCTGTTGCAATCAAAAATCATAAATTTATATGAATAATGAATATCACTTACTTCAAAAACAAATTTGTTTTGGAGGCTATAAATACAGTTTTTGCCAAAATGGCATTACTTCCGGTGATAATGAAAATGTTACATTACTTTTATGAAATCATATACCATGAGGCATCACATGGTGAAAATTTTATGAAAATCGAAAAATAATTGACACTTTTATGGACCAAAAGCCTTGAAAAGAGACTTGTAGAAAATCGTCTATTTCTCCACAGCTGAACAAGTTAGGAACGAATTTGTGATATCTATATGACCGTATTATTTTATTGATATGTTGATTTAAACTAAAAGTAATGATATTGATTTTACGGGTTAAAAATACGTTTTTCAACAAAATGGAGTTAATTGTAATTTGTAATCAATTTCATATAATGCACATTGGAAATGAAATGAAATGAAATGGGGTTTAACGTCCTACTGTTTTGCTCCTAAACTGGGCTAATGAAGACGGGATAATGCACATTGGCTTTATGCATCAACTGGTATCACTTTTATGAAAATCCAATAATAATTGACTCTTTTAAAAGCAAAATAGCTTAAAAAGTGACTTATGCAAAATTGACCATTTCCCGGCAACTGCTCTTATTACAAACTAATTTTGAAATAGATTCTCTTCGTATGGATTATTGCTACCATAGGCGTACGGGCTCAATGACAGTTAGGGGGACAGAACCCAAAATGCCCGAAAAAATTTCAGGTTTACAGCCAGCCGCGCCGGACTTCTTCGAGAGGTCAAGAAGCCGAGCTTACCTTGTATGGACCCCCCACAACCCCGAAAGAAAGTTTTGGAATATCTGACGGCTGCAAACAGGTTTTCCTCCTATTCAAGCCTGTGAATACAGCAACTTCAATTTGGTCCAATATAGCCTACCTGGCTGACCCCAATTCCAAACAACCAATCAATCGTCGCTGGGTATGGGGGCCTCACCCTCCCGGAGAAAATTTAACCACCACAAATGCATTTTCTGCTATTCTAGCCCGTGTAAGCAACTCCAAAAGTATTCAGTGGTTTTGTAAACGAAATCCCATTCTGAATTCCAACCATCCAATCAGACTGTTGCAGCTACATTCACAAATAATAATCGATGCCAAAAAAATGTCGCACAAAGTAGAGTGGCTCTAGACAAAATGTTTTAATCCGAAGAAGCGGAGCTGACCTTGTATGGACCTCCCAAGAAATTTTTTGAATTTTGAATATTTGACGGCCGCAAATGCGTTTTACTGCTATTCCAGCCCGTAAAATTAGTGTTTTATTGGATTTCGGGCACTTTATTTTGCCAAGTAGATGAAATAAAAAATTTTTTTCACTTAACCCGTCTGCCCGAAAAGTAGAGGGGCAGCTGCCCCCTCCCCCCTGGCTCGTACGCATATGATTGCTACAAGTTTATGAAAGTTACGAAGAAATATTTTAAAATATGAAAAGCCTGAATGGGTTGTAAACAGCTCATTTTTACACCATTTTTCACCTTTAAATTGAAATAGCACAAAAACAAAATCGATATTAAAACCAGCGGCTGTCAGGCAGGATACGCCCACATTTTGCAAGAGATGGATAGAGAACAAGCTAACCAGCGGCTGCCAGACAGAATACACCCACATTTTGCAAGAGATGGATAGAGAACAAGCTAAAAACAAAAACGATTTTTTGTACAATCAGGGGCCATAATCCAGAAAGTTATGGTCTGAAATGCGCAAATATTCCAATTCAACCTTCATTATGGTGGAATGGTGATATATCTAATCTTTTTTAAAATCGGAAAAAATTCAGGAAGTTAGGTTCAGATATGTGTGATTATCAAAAGGAACCAAGATCTTCATGATAAAAACATAAGTTTCATCCCAAAAAAACTGTGACCTCTAGAGGGTCCACAACCTTGATATACCATATTTTTACACTATTTGCGTACAAGGGGCGGCATCATTAGGGTGCAACTATGATATACTAAAACGTTTTTTTAAATCGAATAAAAATTGTCTGGCAATTTTGGTCTGATATTTACAAAATTCGAACTCAACCATCATTAGGGTGTAACAGTGATATACTAAAATGTTTTTTTAAATCGGATAAAATTGTGACCTTTAGAGGGACCACAAGCTAAAAAACGCAATTTTTCGTTCAATCAGGGGCAACAATTCAGGAAGTTTCCTTTCGAAACATGCATTTCAAGTTTCATCAAAATCGGATCGAAATTGTGACTTCTAGAGTGTCCACAAGCTAAAAACGTTATGGTCCGATACATGCCAATATTGACAGAAACCGAGATCCTTGGGAGATAGACCTATATTTCAAGTTTCAGCAAAATTGGATAAAAATTGTGACCTGTAGAGTGTTCACAAACCAATCGCTGAAAATCACTAGGCTTCTTCGTCTCATGGTCTTCAACACTGTATATAAATTTAAAGTCAATCGGATATTAACTTTAGCCTCTAGAGCGTCCACAAGAATTTTCAAAGTGATCAAGGGCCATAACTCTGGCAAAAATTATCAGAAATCGCTGAAAATCAATAGACTTCTTCGTCTCATGACCTTAAACACTGTGTATCAATTTAAAGCCAATCAGATATTAACTTTAGCCTCTAGAGCACCCACAAGATTTTTCAAAGTGATCAAGGGCCATAACTCTGGCAGTAATTATCGGAAATCGCTGAAAATCAATAGGCTTCTTCGTCTCACGACCTTAAACACTGTGTATACATTTAAAGTCAATTGGATATTAACTTTAGTCTCTAGAGCGTCCACAAGATTTTTCAAAGTGATCAAGGGCCATAACTCTGGCAGTAATTATCGGAAATCGTTGAAAATCAATAGGTTTCTTCATCTCATGATCTTAAACACTGTGTATAAATTTAAAGTCAATCGGATATTAACTTTGACCTCTAGAGCATCCACAAGATTTTTCAAAGTGATCAAGGGCCATAACTCTGGCAGTAATTATCGGAAATCGTTGAAAATCAATAGGTTTCTTCATCTCATGATCTTAAACACTGTGTATAAATTTAAAGTCAATCGGATATTAACTTTGACCTCTAGAGCGTACTCAAGATTTTTTGAAGTGATCAAGGGCCATAACTCTGGCAGTAATTATCGAAAATCTTTGTCTCATGACCTTAAACACTGTGTATAAATTTAAAGTTAATCGAATATTAACTTTGACCTCTAGAGCGACCACAAGATTTTTTGAAGTGATCAAGGGCCATAACTCTGACAGTAAATATCGAAAATCGCTGAAAATCAATAGGCTTCTTCGTCTCATGACCCTAAACACTGTGTATAAATTTAAAGTCAATCGGATATTACCTTAGCCTATAGAGTGTCCACAAGCAATTGTGGACGCCAGACCGACGGACAGGGGCGACAACAATATACGACCACATTTCAATGTGGACGTATAAAAATTGAGAATTTGCACCATTGAGCATATGAACTTTGTTTTATAAAAATCAGGCATTAAATAATTAACCTAGAACCGATAAACTGAATTAGCCAATAGTGGCCAAGAAAAATTATCAAGACAAAAAATGTTCACATTTTGGCTCAAATCAGATGACCCTTTAACCCTGGGTAAAATGCCATAAATAAATATTCATTAATAAAAAGTATTTTGTCAAAATTTAAATTTTCACAATTTGGTGCCTAATATTTCCGATGATGCGTCGAAAATCAATAATCAAAAGAACCATAGCTACGTGCCTTGTCTCTGGCTATGTCAAAATGTTTAAAATGTTAAAATTTGACAATTTTTGTTAACATTACAGCAATATTTCAAAAATATTATTGCAAAATGTCCGAAATAGCTTTATTCTCTAAGTCACACCCACTTTCTCAGTAAAACCGAAGACATCGATTCGATCCGACAAGTAGTCTTGAAATATGCTCAAGTGGAAAAAAAAAAAAAAAAAAATAATAAGAATAATTTTAACATAAACAAATAGTGTTTTACACAAGCTATGCAGTGTGAAACCCTAATAATGTTAAAGGCCGACAGTTCAATTCTGTAGACAATTTAACACCTACATGTTAGAAGTGTAATGGTATATGTAGCTGGTATACAATTAAAGGCCATTAAACTGGGTAGACATTGCTAAAGGACATAGTAGTACAGATGTATCATCTTGTTGTCTAAAACTGTTCAATAATAAAAACTTTAATTTAAATGTTCATTGTATTTGGACATATCGCATAAACAATTAATAGTATACAACATAACACTGGCAGGTATATTAATGCATGGCCACCATCAGATATCCCTCTTCTGTTATTAATGAGACTCATATTCTCCATCTCAAAACAAATAGATGCCACAAAAGTACTTGCACATTTATCTTTTATAAAACATCAAGCAATCAAAGTACTTATCACTCTGATTAACTTAAGCGGAAGATACTTATTACTAATCTTAGTCAAGATACTGACGTAATGAGGGAGGTTGAATGACTGAATGGTTAGCACGTGCGCGCTGTATCATAAGGCCTGTCATTGAGTCAACTGGCGTGGTTTTGAATTCCCGGTTGCACATGACAAGGAGAAGGTTTGCCTGTCCAACCTCATGGGTTTTCTCCATGTCCTCCGGTTTCCTCCCACTGCTAAAGACCCCTACGTGCAAGCCAATTATTGAAATTAAACCATATGTTAGTCCCGAAATGACCTAGTCTGTGTCGGGTGGACGTTAAACACCATTTCTCTCTCTGACGTAATGAAGATAAACACCAAGTTTCATTACTTCAAAATACAATTAGAATCTGAATTCATTGACAAATCAAACTGCTTATCTCTGCAAAGGCTCGTGAATTCACCTGACTGACAGAGAGAGACGAACGAACCCATTATACTCCCAATCTGCTTAAAATACAGATCTATATTTCGTTTCATTTTTTTATACTTTTGATGACCTATACTACATGAAGATCTGACCGGTTGTAGTGATAGGTCGCGTCAGAGGTCAAACAAGCAGCTTTTGACCTTATGATGTCAGACATTGATTAATCAACCAGCGTTAATGTTTCTAGTGGTTTACCCACACAGTACGCCAAGATCCCACCGTAACAGATCGCTTGATTGGCTAATCCCTCACATTAACCTGAATGCGACTTATACTTAACTGGATTTTTGTTATGTTGATGACTAAGGGAGAAAGAGAGAGAGAAACAGGAGTTTAACGTCCACTTGACACAAACTAGGTCATTTTGGGACTAACATATGGTTCAATTTTATTTCCATAATTCAGTTGCGAGTAGGGGTCTTTAGCCGGAGAAAACCCACGAGGTTGGACAGGCGACCCTACTCCTTGTCACGTACAACTGCGGAATCGAAATCACGCCAGTTGACTCAATGACAGACTTTTTGATACAGCGCGCACATGCTAACCATTCAGAAATCCAAGGTCATTTTGAGACTAACATACGTTTTTTTATTTCAAAATTTCGCTTGCGCATAGGGAGGAAACTGGAGGACCCAGAGAAAACTCACTTATTTAGTTCACAAAAAACTAATCCTTCATTTCGGTGATTTCGCTAAGAATTCCCTGCGAATCACAGGGGGGTTTTCGTCGTGAGAGAGAAAAATTGGGTTTAACGTCCACTCGACACAGACTAGGTCATTTTGGGACTAACATATTGTTTAATTTTATTTCAATAATTTGCTTGCCCATAGGGGTCTTTAGCAGTGGGAGGAAACTGGGGGACCCGGAGAAAACCCACGAGGTTGGACAGGCAACCCTACTCCTTGTCACGTACAACCGAGGATTCGAAACCACGCCAGTTGATTCAATGACAGGCCTTATGATACAGCATGCACGTGCTAACTATTCGGCCATCCAACCCCCAATTTTTCGTCATGTCCCAAAATATTGCAGCATTCTGTAGTATAGATTTGTACTACTTAACTGGATTTTTGTTATATTGATGACTAAGGGAGAAAGAGAAATGGTGTTTAACCTCAACTCGACACAAAATAGGTCAATTCGAGGCTAACATATGTTTTTTTATTTCAATAATTCGCTTGCACGTAGGGAATAAACTGGAGGACTCAGAGAAAACCCACGAGGTTGGACAGGCGACCCTACTCCTTGTCACGTACAACCGGGGAATTGAAACCATGCCAGTTGACTTGATGACAGACTTTATGATACAACGCGCACACGCTAACCACTTGGACATCCAACCCCTCTGATGACTAAAGAGAAGAGAACTTTTATAGATAAGTAGTCAATCTGTGGCTCTGGTCAAACTTTGTCAAAACATTTCTAGCCAGTTAAGTTTTGATGAATTTTGTTTACTTTGTATTAACAGGATATTTTTTCCAAAGAATATGACAATTTTAATCATTATCTCATTTTTCATATATGTTTTTAGATGATTTTACACAATAAGAATAATAAATTTGACTGTATTTATTGCGTTTTAAGGTTAAATTCTTTGAAATTTGAATTTAGGGCATAAATAATTTGACAGATAGTTAAGTTCTGGCATGTATGATACAGATGGCAAGATTTGACCACAGGTCCAATGCCACTACTAATGTGCAAAACTATTTATATTTTCAGCGCTCATCACAGTTATGTTAATTTGATATCTTAAACAATATTACCCAAAACAACATTGTTAGCTTTCAAATATTCATAAAATTGTTAAAACTCTTTCTGTCTAAAGGGAGCGAACCATTACCCCTCTGTCCCTTAAATTGCCTCAAATACGCCACTGTAATATGCAGTTATGTATTTGATTCAAGACAGACAGTTGTTGAATAAGATCAATAGACTGTCCACAGATGATGAATCGATTTAGAGTGGTCATTATCTGTAATTAAATGAACTCATTCCCTATCACACAATATACATACCTTTCAACCATTCTATTAGTATCCATCTTAGTTTCATACTCTTTAATCATGGATACGACAACTTCTTCATGTTCTGTTGCTATAAGAGCCATATCTTGTTTTAAACATCTTAGACCTGGTAACATAGCTTCTACAATTAACTGATCATTGATGACTTGTACATGTTAAGGTTTTGTCAATGAGCTATCATGTCATATGAAGAACTTCTATCTATAAGGACATGTGTTACATTTATTTTAATAAATAAATATAGTTGCCGGGTATATGCTAAAGATTCTTCACACCCTTTATGCTACTACTATGCAATTGGGCTATTAGCCTGTTAGTCATTAACCCCCTTTCTAAAGTTTTTAGTATTTTTGGTTTGTAGGAAACTGAATGTGCAAAAATTTTAAATTTTATTACATTTCGAACCTCCAAGCTCTAAAATAATATGTTTTAGTCAATTATGCTTACAATCCAAACTTATTTCTAATGTTATGTGGAACTAAGGCCAAATATCCTTGCCTATGTTGTAGAAGTAATAAGAATATTGATGGTAAAATTTCTGATGGTGAGATACAAGTTTAGCCATATGGGAATTGTTTCTCTCCTATTAAAAGATTTAAAAGAATATAAATGTAGACTACTATTGCAATTTCTAGTTTATGGTAAATATACCCCAAGGATTTGTAAACATATCTATAACATTAATAGATAAGTATACATTGTAGAAGATTACAAGATTAGTAGAGTATATAATGGCTACAAGACATAACTCAAACCGAACATCATAATAATAAATCTTATACAAACACCCCTACAGACTCATTATCAATATTCAATCCTCATGACATTATCCGTCGAATTGGAAACAATTAAAATTATACATTTTCTTTTCAGAAATAATTATTGTTATAATATAAGTCATTCATCTCGCCTCTGAAAGTGATTACAAAAATTGATTTTTGGTAACAAGAATCACTATAAATTTCCTAAATTGATTTTTGATGGAATGGAAAGAAAACGAAACAGTGAAATTCACTTTTCTTTTGCTAGTAATTTCACACTTGTCAACCAAAACCATTCTTTGGTCAGTAGTATTTCCAGAACCTCCTCTCATATCTGTTCAGAGAAAAACTCATTGTAATTGACATTTGTGACAAGCTAAATGAGAGGTATGGGTTGTAAAAGTCATTATAAAACTATGAATAAATATAAATTGTGTAATCAATAATCATTAAATTGGCATGTGACATTTATAATTATCTCTACAAAATTGCCCAGATATAGTTAGATTTGAAGCAAGTGTACATATATTAACAATAATTTTCATAAACCCACAAACAAATAAAACAAAAATGCATATCGCAACAATAATAGCAGGATTTGTTCATTTTTGCTAAGTTTTTGCTTTTGAATTTTGAAAGTATAAAATTATGGTATTTTTTACAGCAAAGGCTGAGGAAACTCAAAATCAATAAATTAAGGTTGTCAGGCAACAATACATATTTCTCATCGGCAGTTTAGTTAGTCCGGTGGCTGTAGGGGGGGAATCGCCACCCGAGCTGTGAATTTATGAGACCATGTTTTTCTAAACCAGTTTTTTCGTAGATTCCGAATCTGGGTGGTGATCAGGTGTTTGAGGGGGGGGGGGGGTTGTCGAGATATGGGGGGCGGGGGTCCAATGTCTACAAATAGAGTGAAATGTCATTATGTTGACATAAATGATAATCATGTTATATATTAATAATAACATAAATTTCTGTCTATCTCTAAAGAAGTGTATATGATGCCCCTGGAAAACTGTTTTGAATTGTGGGGAAGTGGGGTGGGGAAGTGGGGTGGGGGTAGCAGGTGTGCGTGTGTTAAAGGGTGGGGGGGGAATTGGCGGGAAATGAGTTCACATTGATGATGATTTTCTTTGAGCTTGGTAAAATCATTACTTTTCAATTCCGCTGCAGATCTCTAAATATGTGTATATGATTACCATTGTATGGGGTGGGGTTGGAGGGCAAATTGTATTTTTGGGGACAGAAACCATTTGGTTCAAAATTGACCTGAAAAGTGTTTTCTCGTTAGCTTTTTCATTCAGTACCAATTTCGTCATTCAAAATATTAAATTATAATGGTACTTTTCAAGATTTCTGGAAATATACTTATAAAAACACAGTAAATCAGAGACATGTTTAGATATTAGTTTATTCTTATAGTCTTCATCAGAATACGAGCGGAATAGATATCTTCTTGATGACTGATCAACATCTCGCATATATCCTTTGGATATGCTTCAGATACTCATTCACATTGTAAATCTTCATTCCAGCCTTGTATCGCAGAGTTATCTTGTTCGATCATTGGTTTTGCGGCCTGTCTCCATATTATTGCAACATGTTGCGCTTAATGTGCAGCAAAAGACTTCTATGAAACAAGAAACTACGCATATGATACCAGTACATCAAAATAATGTTAAAAATGCAAATAATGTTCAGTTAACAATATTTACATGCCATAATCTATTTCATGCTACTAGAAGTAAGTGAATAAGCTTGGCAAGTTTGAAAAATCTCAAAAACTCTGGACAAAAGAGCATACAATAGAAATAATGCAACTTTGAATTTTGATAATGATAGAGTTCATCTTTATTACCAGTCAAACTATCCTCGCAAGTTCTCAATAACTCTGACTTGTAAAGGAATTACAAAGGTTTTGATGGCAAGGGCATTTGTGAATATTTGATCTGTTTCTCTGAATTTAGATAGACCAACAAGTTAAAAAAAAAACCCAACAGAAAACCATGTGTAGTGACATATTGAGTGATTACCAAGTAGTTTAACGAATATAAAATGTCTTGTTTTGTCTCATATCTTAAATAAAGGGCCTGTAATATGTCTCATGAAGCCAAAACTGGTCACATTTGTGGCCATATGATGTTTATAGTTAGTAATAAATGTAAAGGATACAACAACATGACATAGCACTGTACGCTTCAAATAACTGCATAGCAATATCTCTTCTCTTTGTTTCATTAGCTGTATTATTATTGGCAAGAGCCATTGCAGCAAGTCTTGGTAGAAGAACTGCAAGATAAACAAGCCAACAGTGAGGCTGATGTCCCCCGCCGAAATCCCAAAATAAATAGATGACACATTAATTAATCGCACATTTATTTTTTTCAAAAGTATCGAGCAATCAAATTATACACTAAGTTTCAGCACTCTCTATCAGATAGAATCAAAGTTATCTTGTCCCAAAGCATCGACCAATGTTAATAATTGAACTCAGCCATGACATGACAGCAGAAAATACTCATTATCAAACTTAGTCAAGGTAATGATATAATAAAGCTATACACCAAGTGTCCTCACTCTCACTTAATTAGAACTAAAGTTATCGTGTCCCAAAGCATCAACCAATCAAATTGCTTATCCCTGCTTACTCTAAGCAAAAAATTCTCATCTTCACACTCCATCAAGGCATTCACCTAATAGCCACCTATGCCAAGTGTGAACATTCTAACTCAACTAGAATGAGAGTTATTGTGTTCTAAAGTCTCGACCAATCAAATTGCTTATCTCTGCTTAACCTAAGCACAAAATGCTCATCTTCGAACTCCATCAAGACATTAACCTAATAAACACCTACACCAAGTTTGAACATTCTAGCTCAATTAGAAAAGGAGTTAATGTGTTCCAAAGTCTCGGCCAATCAAATTGCTTATCGCTCTGCTTACCCTAAGCAGAAAATGCTCATTATCGAGACTTAGTCAAGGTATTGATATAATAAAGCTATACACCAAGTGTCCTCACTCTCCCTTTTAATTAGAACTAAAGTTATCAGGTCCCAAAGCATCAACCAATCAAATTGCTTATCTCTGCTTACCCTAAGCGGAAAATGCTCATCTTCGAACTCCATCAAGGCATTGACCTAATCAACACATACACCAAGTTTGAACATTCTAGCTCAATTAGGAAGAGAGTTATCGTGCCCCAAAGTATCAACCAATCAAATTGCTTATCTCTGCTTACCCTAAGCGGAAAATGCTCATCTTCGAACTCCATCAAGGCATTGACCTAATAAACACATACACCAAGTTTGAACATTCTAGCTCAATTAAAAGTTATCGTGTCCCAAAGCATCAACCAATCAAATTGCTTATCTCTGCTTACCCTAAGCGGAAAATGCTCATCTTCGAACTCCATCAAGGCATTGACCTAATCAACACATACACCAAGTTTGAATATTCTAGCCCAATTAGGAAGAGAGTTATCGTGTCCCAAAGCATCAACCAATCAAATTGCTTATCTCTGCTTACCCTAAGCGGAAAATGCTCATCTTCGAACTCCATCAAGGCATTGACCTAATAAACACATACACCAAGTTTGAACATTCTAGCTCAATTAGGAAGAGAGTTATTGTGTCCCAAAAAGTGTGACGGACAGACAGACGGACAGACAGACGGACAGACAGACAGACAGACAGACGGACGAACCCATTTTAATAGTCCCCTGCTTTCTTCGAAAGGCGGGGGACAAAAAACAACAAACAATTGATGAAATGGATTACAAAAAGGCCCCAAATAAAAAATAATGTTCATTAAAGGGGAAATAGTGCTTTGGAGGTCTTTGGTGGTTGGTAAAATATTTAACATTACCAACAATAGGACTCATGTCCAAGAGCACACAAGTCTAGATCACTGGGCCACTCAAATCCTGGCAAAATTATAGACAAATCAGCAAAGTCATCGCTTAAATATAATCATTTTAAGGGCATTGAGTAGTCTAAGATACGCACTAACTTTTCAACATCAATTTTATTAAGACTTTTCACATTTGTTCCATGTGTAAAATAACCCAGACGCTATATAACAGTCCGACCGTTTGTTGTGTAATAATGGAGATACAAGAGGAAAGAAAAAAACTTTTATAGCAAACGAGAAGGTTTCCCCGACCTAGATCAATTCTTGAATAAATTATGACGTCGTACACACCGTTCACGTCATCCGAAATAAACAATCATGGCCACCTCCAACAGTAGTTTTACACTGGATCATTGATGTCTATCTATATATGACATCAGAAGGAATTCCCTCTAAGACACAATTATCGAGGTTTAATATCCACCGCGACTGGAACAAGGCTGAATTTCATTTTATGATGGTCAAAAGCTACCATTTTTGAATGTATAAAATGATTTCGAGAGTGGCAGAGTAGTGTGCACTGAAGTAAATATTTACTTTTTACATCCGAATTGTTGTATTTTAAAACTTGTTGTGGACGTATTCAAAAAATTTACTAGAAATCACAAAATCTTGTTTGAAGGTAAATAATCAACAAAGATTTTAAAATACGTTTTTGGTGTTGAAATGTCACGTATAACCTCTATTTTCGATTATTGATAGGCCTATCTCTTTTTAGCAAGTACTAATTGAGTTTCCAAGAAAACTCATCGTTTTTAGGCATTTCTATGGATACCAGACAAACCATAGCCTATAGCCAAAAATCGTTCTGTGGCTTTTTTGGAATTGCAATTATTGTTCGTGTCTAATTTGATAAAAATCCATGCAGACATAAATGGGGAAAATCGACTTTTGTTGTCATCAGTACCCTTTATTATCATGTTTTTGGGTCAAGTTTGGAACATGGTTGGTAAATAAAATTGGTATATTTCTGGTGATTATTAATATGTAGTTTATCACCCTAAATCTAAATAACAAAAAATGTCATGTGCATTTTTGACTGCTCAACACTATTTTATACTTATTAGTTGTTTTTAAGGAATTAAACAAAATTGGCATAAAATATGTTACACAAAGTATGTAAGTACTCAGATTTTTTTCTGTTTGCTTTGAATATGACAATATTCAATATCAATTACATTTATTTTCTTGGTAGGCATGATTTATAATGCCTCTTTAAGCCATGTCTCGAACTAAGACAGTAATACCAATCATGGATTCAATTTTATTCAAAGGTTTCCAAAGAGTCATAAAACAATGAATAATATGTAATCACAGAAAGCATTAAAGAACAAAACACAGACATTATCTAAAGATATCTGGATTAAATATCAAATTACTGCAGTTATTTCACAGCAAGATTAAAGTAACATAGTATAATGTCAAAAAACGTATCAATTCATTAGAGTACAGTTGGCAATTAAAGTTGATGAATTTAGGACTAAACTGATACCTAATGACATCAATAGCACTAGATATCAGTAGATCACATACAAATTTTGATTGAATTGGACCATAACATCCTAAAAGTGTTTTTTTTTTTTTTTTCAAAAACAACAAAAAAACATCGCATCTGACAGGATTTTTCACATTTGGAGAATCTTTTTCTGGATATCAAAACGATTTTTGTATCATAAATAACATTTATGCTTTGGAGATAAAATGATTATTTCTGTATGTTAAAAAATGATTTACACATTTGTGTCTGATAAGATAACTAGTGTTATAATTTATAAGCTATTATGTGATTTTAGGTTTACATTAATCAATGTATAATAAAATTACCATTAATCAAGTCAGGCAGATTAATTTTAGATAATCAAATAGTCATATATATAGCGTACACTAGATCAATATATACCTACAGATAGTCATCACAGGTAAAATAGCTTAACTTTATAATAGGAAATAACACAAACACAACTTTATGGATAACAATCACTTGAAACTTTAAATACAAGTATCCTCTTGTCTTTATCAAGCACAAGGTAAACAATAATATGAATCAATATGATACCGAAATCTGAGAGTGAACATTTAAAGATGGGTTCCCAGAAAAGTATTTATCAGGTGGTTATTTCAAATAAAAGTATGGCAATTTTTGTATATATGGAAAGTAGAAATATCCAGTCTTACTAGAAAAATACTGGATTCCCTGAAAAACACTCATAGAGCGCATACAGGACAAAAATGTAAGGGTTTCCCTAATCGACAGCCCAACGATTAGGAGTATATGCACGCGTGCCGTCAAAGGTTGCACGTGGAGATTGAACGCTTGATGTACATGTTGATAAACTTTATGAAGAATTAGACGTACAACACTTTCTGAGATAAAAATCACGAGAAAAGATGCGGGTAGTGGATGATCCGAGAATTTAATTAGGCTTCGATATTTGTAATAAATAGTCAGCAATTAAAGATGACATCGTCTTGTGTATGCAATGAATTCTCCTCCGACTTCGCTTCTGTTGCTAGGTACTGAGTCTGAGAGAGGTAAGTCACGTGAAACAAACATGACCTCTTTTTTATAGCCAGGGTATTCCCCGACAATTGCAATGTTGTGAGACGGATTTGAAGCAAATTTATGGTAAATTAATTAGTTTGAATATGTTTTTAGTCCAAATATATCATCAAATCACTCAGTTTGTACCCGGGAATGTATCTTTAAGTATAAAAAACAAATGTTTTAATTCTTGTCTTTGTGGATTCATTTATTCTTTATACTGAAATGTTCACTCCCAGCTTTTTGTATCATAATCATATTGATTCATATTATTGTTTAACTAGTGATTGTTATCTATAAAGTTGTATTTATGTTATTTCACTCTTCTCGTATCATTAAATGCATTACAAACAATTTATAATAGAGAGAGAGAGACTAACATATGGTTTAATTTTATTTCAATAATTCGCTTGCGCGTAGGGGTCTTTAGCAGTGGGAGGAAACCGGAGGACCCGGAGAAAACCCACGAGGCTGGACAGGCGACCCTACTCCTTGCCACGTACAACCGGGGATTCGAAACCACGCCAGTCGACTCAATGACAGACTTTATGATACAGCGCGCGCACGCTAACCATTAAGCCATCCAACCCCCCATTTATAATAGAAGTTTCTGATTAATCTTAAAATAATCTAGCACTAATTGCACATACCACTTTGGGCAATCAAAAAAGTTACTTAATTAATCAAAATAGTGCTGTTTTGGGGTACGTTAAAAAAATCTTATCAAATCCTACTGGCTTGAACTTTTAAAAAAAAAAAAAAAAGCTACAAAAAAGAACATATGATCTAAGTTTAGATCAACTTAGAATGATGTTAAACTCTTTCAGAATCTGGCATAA